GCTCTAGGAAAATGACAATTGGCTCGTAACTGAATTAGCACTCACTCTCAGTTTATGCTGGGACATGCAGGGTCCTGACATGACTCAGCTGGGAGGTTAATTGGCTTTGATGGATGACGGGGACCAGCTCACATTCATATTTCTTCTAAGAAATGAATCTACGGACTCAGCAGTTAAGAGCATTTACTGCTCTTCCAAAGACTGGGGCTCAGTTCCCAGTACCGCAATGGAGGCTCACAACTGTTTTTTTTAACTCCAGTCCCAGCACATCCGACACCCTCTTCTGTCCTCTGCAAGCATGAGCCACATTTATTTCATTCATGCAGGCAAAACACTCACACACATAAAGGGAAATAAATAATATTTTGTTAAAATATTATTACACATATAAAAATGAATTACAGGGCTATGCCGATGAGCCAGCGGATAAAGCTGCCTGCTTCAGATCTGATGACCTTTCGTTGACTAGGACCTCTGTGGCAGTGGGAGAGTCAGCTCCTGAAAATTGCCCTCTCACTTCCACAAGGACACTGTGACATGCTCATGACCACAGAATTACACACACATAAACATCCCGATATTTAGGGATTAAGAAAATATCCTACAGGCTTTCCTACATCCAGACCTTATGGAGACATTTTTCTCAACTGAGGTTTCCTCCTCTCAGATTGCTATAATTTGTTTCAAGTTAACATAAAACTAACCAGCACAGGGACCTTATATTAGAAACAAAACAAAATAAAAACAGACTAACAAAGACAAATTCCATTGGGGACAGAACTCAGTTGGTAGAAGACTTGCTCAGTGTGCAAGAAGCACACATAAACCAGATCCGTGAAACTGGAGTTACAGATGGTTGTGAGCGTCGTGTGGATGCTAGGAATCGAACCCTAATCTTCTGCAAGAGCAGACAGTGCTCTTACTGTCTAGCTGTCTCAGCAGCCCTTCTGCGCCTTCCCTTTAACACCAATGTCTGGTTCCCAGGGTTCTGAAATCTGGATGTAATCAGTCTGGGATTCACCTTGGATTTTGCAGCTCAGGCTGGCCACAAACTCAGCTATGCAGCTGCAAATGGTTTTGAACTTCTCTGTTTAGATGATTTCAAATGCATTATGTGTGTGCCTGCACACTGGTGTGATGTGGGACAGGGGGTGACTTTGTGGAGTTGGTTTTCTTGTTCCACCTTTATGTGGGTCCCAGGCATCACACTGAGATCACTAGACTCCTGGAATACACCCTTACCCACTGAACCATCTGGCCAGCCAACCTTGAATTTCTGATCTTCCTGCTTCTACTTCCCAAGTGCCCGCACCATCATGTTGGGTTTGGTTGTTTGCTAATTGTTTTGTTTTTGTTTGATACAGGGTCTCACTATATATCCCTAGCTGCCCAGAACTCACTATGTAGACCAGGCTGGCCTCCAGCTCACGGAGATCCACCTGCCTCTGCCTCCTGAGTGCTGGGACTAAAGGTGTGCACCTCTACGACTGGCTTTGCCAAGTTGTTTTTCATGTGGTGCTTGGGGATCACACACAGGCTTCCCGCATTGTGGGCAGGTACTCTCCTGACTGAACTCCAGCCCCAGATCCATCTTGGTTTTCAGCCCTTCCTAGACCTTCCTTGTGGGATAGCTTCTTCCTAGGCCTGGGGGTTTGTGTTGGGAGCCTGGACTGTACCTGGTGGCCAGTCCTGGGATGCTCTTTCTCTTGCTCTTGTTAACATGACCTGTCAAGTTACCAGCTGCAGAAGAGACCTCAGGTCTGGACCTCCCTCTTTGGTACAGAGAGCTGCTTTCTGGAACACATGACTCTTTAAGGTTCTGTTCAGAGACGGGGAGCACCTGGCTCCTGCCTCCGGCATGCGCAGAAAAGGAGGCCGTGGCACTGACCAGGACTGGATGAAATACCTAAAAGTCTTTTTTCCAACTCAGAGGTTTTCTTTCCACTTGACCTGTTTCTCTAACTCTAAGCCAACTGTGGCATAAAGGTTGCTTTGCAGTAAATTGTTTGGGATTACATGAACCATTCCATTAGGCAACCACAAGTTTGTAAGCCTGGCTTCGACCAGAGACTTTAGAAATAGCCTGTGTCTTTATTCAACTTAGAAAATATTTAAGCAATGGGGTTAGAGAAAGTTCAAATTTACACAAAAATAGTGTGTATTAGAATGCACCTCCATGTACCCATCACCCAGTTTTCAACTATTACCAATTAGCTCATGGCCAATCTCGAGGTCCCCCACACCCTGCTCCAGACATATTCCCAGGTCATATTAACCAGGTCATATGCTCCAGGTCCTCTAACGCAGGTCCCAACCACCACATCATTCCACCTGCAGATGCTTGAGTATTTGTCTCTAAAGAATGAGGTCACCTTCTATAAGAATTTTTTAGATTGATTTGTTATTATTGTATGTGTATTGCTATATGCACATATATACTTGGTGCCTGTTGAGCTGAGGGCATCAGATCCCCTGGAACTGGAGCTGTGGACAGTTGTGAGCCGTCATGTAGGTGCTGGGAATCAAACACAGGTCCTGTGGCAAGAGCAGCAAGTGCTCTTAACTGCTGAGCCATCTCTCCAACCTGAGGTCACCTTCTTTTTCTTTTTTTTAAATAAATTTATTTATTTATTATTTTACACCCCAGCCACAATTTTCCCATCCTCCTCTCTCCCCAGAGCCTAGGTCCTCTGCAAGAGGAGCAAGAACCCTTCAGCTGAGCCATCTTTCTAGTCCCAGACTAGTTTTGGGCAGTCTTAGAAACTAAGGTGTCACTGCATTGTAGTAACTAAAGAGCCCAGGTCACTAGCAAATGCCACATTTTCATTCCTCTTCATGTCTCCCAGGAATGGCTCATTTCCTGAAATTTCTTATAAAGTGCAAGGAGTTTTGTTAGAAATAGTAGTCTTTTGGTGCTCCGTGGCAAATATATCTCCTGGTACATCACTTTCCTTTGAGCTTGGTCAATATCTATCCCCAAACAAAAATAAAACACAAGATGAGGGCTGGAGAAATGACTAAAGCGTGGGCTGCTCTTCTGAGGACTTGAGTTTGGGTCCCAGAGCTTACATGGGGCTCAAATCATCTGGAATCCGAGATCCAGGGGCTCCAATGCCCTCCTCAGGTCTTTGGGGACACTTCATGCATGCAATGCACAGGCAAACCTGCATACACATAATCTAAAAATAAATCTTTAAAAACAACAAGGGCTGGATGGTGGTGACGCACGCCATTAATCCCAGCACCTGGGAGGCAGAGGCAGGCGGATCTCTATGAGTTCGAGGCCAGCCTGGTCTACAGAGCGAGTTCCAGGACAGCCAGGGCTACACAGAGAAATCGTTTGGTCTCACTCCCCAGTGCTGGGATTACAAGCTTACACCTCCACACCTGTGGCTATTTCTGTGGCTACTGAGGACTGAATTCAGGTCTATGCTTATGCAGCAAGTACTTTATCCGCAAAACTGTCTCCCCCACCAAAAGAAATACTTTCTGTCTGGGGACATTTACCTTGTTCCTAGAAAACTCGTGAAACACTTATGAGGAACCAACCCTCAGTAATGAGGTTCCAATTGAAACTTAAAAAAATAAAACAACCCAATTTTATTTATTTTTTATTTATTTTAATTAATTAATTTATTTATTAAAGATTTCTGCCTCCTCCCTGCCACCGCCTCCCATTTCCCTCCTCCTCCCCCAACCAACTCCCCCTCTCTTGTCAGCCCTAAGAGCAATCAGGGTTTCCTGCCCTGTGGGAAGTCCAAGGACCTCCCACCTCCTTTCAGGTCTCCTAAGGTGAGCATCCAAACTGCCTAGGCTCCCACAAGGCCAGTACATGCGGTAGGATCAAAACCCAGTGCCATTGTTCTTGACTTCTCAGCAGTCCTCATTGTCCGCTATGTTCAACGAGTCCGGTTTTATCCCATGCTTATTCAGGCCCAGTCCATCTGGCCTTGGTGAGCTCCCGATAGATCATCCCCATTGTCTCAGTATGTGGGTGCACCCCTCACGGTCCTGAGTTCCTTGCTTGTGCTCTCTCTCCTTCTGCTCCTGATATAGACCTTGGGATTTCGGTCCGGTGCTCCAATGTGGGTCTCTGTCTCTGTCTCTTTTCATCGCCAATTTTATTACTATAAAAATATCCTAATATTGTCTTATTTAAGTCCTAAATTATTTTCAATGTATAGAGCTGTTAAACCATCATATCCTATTGTTAAAATACCTCTGTCACCCCAGAATGATTCTTCATGCCTGTCTGTTATCATTTTGTCCTTAGCATGACAACCTCATCAGTGTGAGGACAGGCAGGCAGCATCCCTAAGAGATCACCTGCTTGTGAATTCAGGGCCAATGTCTCCAACAGTATGTGTGCACGGGCTTGTGTCTACTTAGGTGACAACATTTTTCCGGAGGAGACACACAGACACATCGTCTTACCCCAGATGGGACGCTCATGACAGACTAAAGTACAAATATTGGTGAACTGTAGGTTTTATTGGGGTTACTTATAGGAATACTTATAGGGTTACTTCCTGGAGTGGACATGACTCAAAGACAGCTGTATCACCAAAGCCCACCCAGCATGGGTGACAGCTCACAAAGCTGGGGATCTGGAGCACACTGCACAGCCTGCAGCAGCTCAACAGGATGGAGAGTGTCCTTTGCAAGTGACTCAATCCATCTAAACCTCTTCCGGGCAGCTCAGCTGGTTTCTGTCTCTTTCAGGTAGCTTGGTTCATCTGAGAGTCTTCTTTGCGGCTCAACCCTGCTCCTCTGAGAGAGAGGGACTCTCAGCCTTTACTGCTTACTCTAGCAGGGAGGGGTCTAGTGAGTCTGGTCAGCTTTAGGGACCATAGCTATTGTGAGTAGTTTGCCTTCCTTTTTAAGGAGCTTCCTGCAGGATGACACTCTAGAAGTGCTGTGCAGCGCTCACTGGGGAGACCTGAGACAGGCCTCCTCCCGAGAGTCCCAGCCGTGCTGAGCCCCATTCTTACCTCTTCCAGGTGGATAAAATTCGAAGAAAAGGTGGAGGAAGGAGGAGAACGCTGGAGCAAGCCCCACGTGTCCACACTGTCCCTGCACAGCCTCTTCGAGCTCCGCACCTGCCTGCAGACGGGGACAGTGCTGCTGGACCTGGACAGCGGCTCCCTGCCACAGATCATAGGTGAGGCCAGGGCATGGTCCTGGCTGTGGTCCCCACAAATGAGGCAATTCCCCCTGTCTCGTGCCCACCTGCATGTCCATATGACTGGCCAATTCAACCCTTGCCTGATTCTGCAGAGATGAGTTTGATTCTGAAGCTCTCTAGACAGTGTCCTAGATGCCCTGATTTCCACACTGCACAGACCACCAGCCACTAGGTAAAAAGCATCCTTGAAGTGTGGCTCAGCAAGGCAGCAGACAGGAGAGGGGCTCCTTGAATGGGCAGAGGTTACTGTTGACATGGCAACTTGTTTCTTTTCAGAGGAAATGGGCCATCTTTCTTCTTTAGCAAACTAACCCCCGCTAAATTGAGTGTCAAAAGAGAAGGTGGCTTGCCTCTTGTCCCTAAACATCTCTGTGATTTTTATTCTATATAGTGCATTCGGTTTGGCTATAACTATTTCTTCTCTAAAAGAGAATTCATGTGCCTTTGACACAGCATCCTGGCACACTTATAGGTTCTATTTCATGCATGCTTCACAACAGGGATGGAAAGAGCATAGACTTCTGTCCACACGTGCACACAGCTAGAGATATATACACAACTTTATACATAGGGGTGGCAGTCCTAACAGTCAGTGGCAAAACCACAGAACTACCTTCATGTCCCAGATCCCTTTGCTCGTATTCAGTCCCCAGGGAAGAATCCAAACCCCAAAGCCCTGGGCTTTTTCTGCGCACATGGGCCTGACCTGTTTATTTCTCTTCCAGATGATGTCATTAAGAAGCAGATAGAGGACGGGCTTTTGCGACCAGAGCTCCGGGAAAGGGTCAGCTACGTGCTCCTGAGGAAGCATCGTCACCAAACCAAGAAGCCCATCCACCGCTCCCTTGCAGACATTGGGAAGTCGGTGTCCACTACAAGTGAGTAGGCTATTCGCAGGTGGGCACAGGGCATGTGGCCAGGACAGCCCACCTCAGTGACCGGAAGTCTCTGACTTCATGATCCTGAAGAAATTCTGGGGTTCTGGGGCTCCCCCAGCTTCTTTCTCTGGAAGGCCTGGGGCGGGAGCAACCACATTCTGTATTGTCCCTGACACCAGAGCACAGCAGGTCCTGCACATGGCAATGACTTCAGTCCTTGAAAGATGTCCTAATGCCTAGACCCCACCCAGGAGCTCTGGATTCTGGTGGTCTGGAGAGCATCCTGGGAAAGAGAGACAGGTTAGAACCTTCCCAGAGACCCACACAGCACCAGGGAATGCCTATAGGGATGGCTGGGTTTTCCACTAAGCCCCACCCGCAAGAGAAGCCAGGACTCCCCCATAGAAAACAGAACACATGGGCTGGAGAGATGGCTCAGTGGTTAAGAGCGCAGGCTGCTCTTCCAGAGGTCCTGAGTTCAATTCCCAGCAACCATATGGTGGCTCACAACCATCTGTAATGAGATCTGGCACCCTCTTCTGGCACGGGGGCATACATGGAGGCAGAATGTTGTATACATGATAAAAGTAAACAAATCTTTAAAAGAAAACAGAACACATGAAGGTGTGGGAGCATTGAGGTCACCTCGAGTGTTCCAGGGCTTGTATACCTGGTTTCTAGTGTCATTATGACCAGCAAAGCCTGGGGCCATCTGGGGAAAGCAGACTGTGCACTCTAGAAGACTGTTTACATTGGCTCAGTATTTGAGAAGTCTGAGGGCCCTACCCCTGGTCGGCCCAGAAGACAACCATAGAAGCCAGCGAGTGACAGAATCGGAGAGAAAGGCAGATAGCCTGTTGCACCCAGTGTTGATTTAATTAACTGTGGATTCTATCTCCCTTTCCACTGTATAAATATTTACCTGGATCTTCTAGAAATTCAGCCAGGGCTCTGAACCACTGTGCTATCTCTCCAGCCCCATTCCCAGGTAATCTATCCACCCTATCCTCTAAGCATTGTTCTTGGAAGGGAAGCTATGTCTTGTAGCAGCTTTGTTTAGTCTGAAGTAGCTACATAGCCACTGAGCTAACCAGAGAGGCTGTAGCAGCGAGGACACTGGAACCATGTGCCTTCTCCTCCCCCTTCCAGATCGCAGCTCTGCCAGGAGCCCCTCGGCAGGCCCAGCTCTGCACCGTTCCACTGAGGACCTGAGGATTCGGCACAACACCAGCTACGGACATCTGTGTGAGTGTTCTCTGTTGAGCACTGGCTGTGACAGCTATAGAATGTCCACATATTCACAGGTGGAGAAGGTAGAGCCCAGTGTCCACATATCCATGGGTGGAGAAGGTAGAGCCCAGGATCTAGCCTGCTTAAGACACCACCAGGAGAAACCAGATTTCCCCTGAAATCTAGGCCTGCCCCGATTTACAGCTATAGTATTCCTTGGTGGACAAGGAGCTCAGCCCAGCCCTGGCATCTCAGCACTGATCTCATGTCCTGGGCACATTGATCTCAGTCAAAACTCTTCTTCGCACTACCGCAACCATTCGGGTCTCTGGTGAGGAGCCTTCCTAGCAGTGGTTTTAAAGGCAGGCCCCTGAGGCTGGAGGCGCAGCTCGGGAGTAGAGAGCTTGCCTAGCGTGTTTGAGCCTCAGCAACACAAAACCGCAAGCAAAATGAGATAGGAACCTGGCTGGGTGCAGCGGCTGAGGCAGAAGGATTGCCACAAGATCAAGGGCAGCCTGGTTTTCACAGTGAATTCCAGGTCAACCCAGGCCACAGAGTGAGACACTGTCTCAAAACAAAACAAACATCCACCCAACTCCTTTGCCAAAGGGCACCCAAGACACCCTTCATCATGACAGAGATGAAACATGAGCATGGGCAGTAGCAGGTCAAAGGTCACAGACGGGCTATTTTAAGCTCATTTGTGGGGAACAGTCAGGTGAGCTATGGGCACAGTGCTCATAGCTCTGGGGTTGAAAGCAGGAGGATTGAGAGTTTGAATTTCTCTGTCTCTCTCTTACCCACACACACACATACACAGAGAGAGAGAGAGACACACAGAGAGAGACAGAGAGAGAGAGAACCCACCATTGTCTCTTTGCAGCAGATGCTTGCCTGGTTTAGTCTTTTCCCTGCTGTCCTAACGTTTGATTCCTCTCAGTACCCATCACCTACTCCTGGCCTTGTTATTCTTATGTGGCCGACAGGGGGCAGTGGTCAGTAGGCAGAAAGTCGCTTTGGAAAGAGTCCTGTGTACTGAGACCCTCTTGTTCAGCGATGTTTAGTGGCACTCTCAGACAGGAGGTGTGAGGAAGTGATCATTGCTTTGTATGAACTGGATCATATGTAGCCCAAGTACATAGGGAGCCCAGAGCCCAGATGACAGTGGGGACCCTCAGAGAGGAGACATGCAACTGAGCCCAAGAGAACAGAAGAGACAACCACCCTCTCGTTAGAACATCTTGTTATGGAGTGAGCCCAAAGGTCAGTGTGAAATAAAGCCAGGGTTGGATCGAGGGGCTTCTAGAAATACGGGGAAACTTCTAGACCCAGGGCACAAACAGCGGTTGATGGGAATTGATGTTGAGGAAAAAATATCACTCAGTTAGCCAAGAGCATAAGGTTCAAAGGTCAGACAAGAGGAGGCCTGGTGCATTTAGTCGGAAATCCAAAGCCATTCCTCAGAAGGTAAGGGGCACCCTGGAGATCTGGAAACAGGTGTGCGCTAGCGTCAGGTTTCTGTCTGAGAAAGAATGAAGAGGCCAGGCCTACCTTGAGGAATAGAGGGAAAGATGGAAGTAGGCCACAACAGCTGGTGGAAAGAGGGAGGGAAGGGTAAGGGAAGAGCCCAGACTCCCTCCCAGGGCGTCAAGGGGCCAGTGGTGGGCTGGAGGGAGTGCTGAGCAGAACAAGGTCTGGGGGGGATTTGGTGGAAGACAACGAGCTGGGGTACCAGATGGGGCTGCTCCAAGGTTCTGAAGCTCAAGAGAGATGGAACTTGAGATGCATTATGAGTGTCATCTCACACACACACTCACACATGCAGACACGCGCGTGCACACACACAGAAGAAGCAATAGGAGTGGCTGTGACTGATGGTGATGAAGTGTGAGATGCTTATCAGGGAATAATGACAAAAACAACCCCAAGGAGAAACAAGCAGAAGGAGATTCTGGGAAGTGAGCGGAGGAGAGCAGTGTTCGAGAAGCAAGGCCAGCCACAGGCCCAAAGCCAAGCAATCAGGACTGTGCATGCCCACTGGACTACACTACTCACGGGAAATGGGAATGGCTTCCCGAGGAAGGGGCTCTTGGCAGTTCCTGTGTTGTCTCTGTCTCCCCATGGACTCTGCCAACCTGTTTTTAAAATCTCCAGGAGGCTATAGACGAAGCTGGTCTCTTCATCAAATTTCAGGCTAGTGGTACCTGGTACCTAATCTGAAAATACATCTCTATGTGTCTTCCCATCTGAGCCCGGCACAATGCTGTACCTGGAGTAGACATCGCAGTGAGGGCTAAGAAGGTGGGCTCGGGGCTAGAGCAATGGCTCAGAAGTTAAGAGCACTGACTGCTCTTCCAGAGGTCCTGAGTTCAATTCTCAGCAACCACATGGTGGCTCACAACCATCTATAATGGGATCAGGTGCCCTCTTCTGGCATGCAGGCAGAACACTGTATACATAATAAATAAAATCTTTTTTTAAAAAGAGAATACCGCTTTAAAAAAATGAGCACTCATTTTTTAAGGAATGAGTGGGTGTAGAGCCGGGAGTCTAACTGCTTATTCAAGCAAGCTGCCCTTGAAGAGAAAGAGAGTGGGGATGACAGCTGACGGAGCTGCAGAGCTGAGGGGAGGGTGCCTTGCTGTAGCTCAGGGCCAAGGGCAAAGGACTGGTGTGAGCCTGGCTTCCCCTGATAGGCCTGCTTTCCTGTCTCTCCTAGGTCACGCCCAGAGTAGAAGCATGAACGACATCTTTCACACCCCAAACACAGACCAGGTAGGACAGCGCTGCCCTGCACTCAGAGGTAGGCAGGGAAGGAGGCCTTTGGTGTCAAGAGTGGAGAGCCTTTCTCTGCAAGGGACCAGACTTCCCCCAGGACTAAGAAGAATGTATAAGTAACCCAGGGACATTTCACCATCAGATAGCTCTGGAGAAGAGAAGTCATAAAGACAGAGGGTGGGACAGTTTGAGCAGAGGACTTTCCATCTGTTTGACTTTGCCCTGAACAGCTGGTAGCCAGTAGGACTGGAGTGAGACCCCCTAAGTGGTCTAGGTTTAAGGTCTAAGAACTGTGAGTTTCCAGGGAGGACCCCTTGTGGGGAACCTGGAAGCACTTTTAGAGACTGGTCCAGAGATCGCTGTGAGTGAGGAAGCAGGGCAAAGGGCAAACAGACCATCAGAACTGACTTCTCTCCACCACCGAAGGTGAAGGCCTAGAGGGAGGTCTTGGCAGCTTACCACTAAGTTCCAGCAAAGGAGGCTGGGGTGGGAGCTGTCCCCGGGCTCTTCACTGACCCTTAGCTCACACAGCAGTGGAGTATCTTAGGGTCTAGCCAGTGACTGAATCCTACCATCTACGAAGGCATAATTGGTCTTGGGTCAACAAACGTTGAGTCTCGTCATCTACAGAGCTGGAGAGAATATTCGGTTACTTATTTCAGTTTCTTGATAATTTCTGTGGAAATTATGTTCTCTGAGGTGAGAGTAGGAGCATGCCAAGTCTTCTTGGGTTGTATTTTCCTCCTGGAGCAGCGGAGAAACAAATTCATGAAGAAGATCCCCAAGGACTCAGAAGCCTCCAATGTGCTCGTGGGCGAGGTGGACTTCCTGGACCAACCATTCATTGCGTTTGTTCGTCTTGTCCAGTCTGCCATGCTGGGAGGGGTGACAGAAGTGCCTGTCCCCACCAGGTGAGTCACTGAGGAGTGCCCCCACACCTGTGCCCACCAGGTGAGTTACTGAAGAGGGCCCCCACTCTCTTCAGGGAGCCATTCCCCATGCTGGCAGCAAGCGGGGATGTCCTTTAAATTAGTATAGAATGGGGCCAGGTAGTGCGTGTCTTTATTCCCAGCACTCAACAGACAGCTCTGTGGGTCTGGGGTCAACCCGCTTTACACAGAGAGCTCCAGGACAGCCAGGGCAACAGCAAGACCCTCACAAAAGAGAAAGAGGTTGGGGGCGCCAGGAGCCAGGAAGGAAGTTGCTGAGTGGTCTGGGCAGCAGTGCAAATGTAAGGATGCCTACGAGAGGCAGAAGCACAAATGTTTCTTCAGCAAATAAAGTAGCAAAAGGAAGATTTTGAGCTGGTGAGCTGATCTGGTGAGCTGGTGAGTTGATCTGGTGAGCCAGTGGGATAATCTGGTGAGCCAGTGAGATGATCTGGTGAGCTGAGCCGGTGAGCTGATCTGATGAGCTGCTGAGCTGAGCTGGTGAGCTGGTGAGCTGGTGAACTGTTTTGGTGAGCTGATCTGGTGAGCTGTGAGTTGATCTGGTGAGCTGTGAGTTGATCTGGTGAACTGTGAGCTGATCTGATGGGTAAAGGCGCTTGTCACTAAGCCAGACAATCTGAGTTTAATTCTTGGAGATCACATGATGAAAGGAGAGAACTGAGTCCTGTATATTGTCTTCTAAACCTCCACATTTGCTGTGGCGTGTGTGCCATGGCACATGCATGTATGTGTGGGGGGGCACGTACACACACACTAACTAGCTAAATAAATAAACATAGAAAGGAAGAGCCAGGTATTGCGGCACTTGCCTGCAATCCCAGTACTTGGGAAGTAGAGGTAGGAAGATTCAAAGTCATGCTTGACTACATAAAGAGTTTGAGCCTGGGTTATGGGAGACCCTGTCTCAAAAACGCAAAAATAAACCAGTAAAAGGAGGTGAAGCAATGACTCAGTTGCTAATGGTACCTGCTGCTCTTGCAGAGGACCTGAGTTCAGTTCCCAGCACCCATGTTGAGTGGCTCAAAATCACCTGTAACTCCAGTTCAGGGGATTCAGTGCCCTCTTCTGGACTCAGCAGGCACTGCACTTGGGTGCACATACCTCCCTACAGATATACACATAATTAAATATAATAATGATAATGATTAGTTTTAAAATATTCAAAGGAGGGAAGGTAAAAAGTTAATAATGGAGACATTGAAGGCCAAAGAATTCTTCTCTTCATTTATTTCTATTTTTCCCTCTTTGTTCTTCCTTCTCCATCTTCTTTGCAGGTTTCTGTTCATTCTTCTAGGACCTTCTGGGAGAGCAAAGTCCTATAATGAGATTGGCCGAGCCATTGCAACCCTCATGGTGGATGATGTAAGTGAGACTATGAAGCAGGCACTGAGTGCTCATAGCTGTGGAACTGGCACGGCCTCCCCTACTGCCCAGGATCACCAGCTATCTAACAAGCACAGCTGAGGCCCTGCTGTGCACCAGGGACCTAAGGATCATGAGATTCAGGGAAGAGACCCAGACCCTCTCATGCAGGAGCACTATCTGAGAGGGACAGAGATGATGATGATGATGATGATGATGATTATATATTATTATAAATGATGAAAATAAAATCAATCATGTATTAGATGCCTGGGGGAACTGAGACACACACTGCAGACAAAAAGCCAAGGGTGAGCGGGGAGCAGGTAGACTAGCAAGATCTTGGGATGCTAGCCTTCTGGACAAGGCAAGTGATGAAGGCTCAGAGAAGCTGAATGGAGGCACAGCAGCATAAGCTCAGTGTGTGATCTCCCCGAGGGCAACCTCAGTGAGATGAGCCTGAAGATCCTGCTCCGTCTCTAGACTAACAGAAGGCTAGAGGTCTTTAAACACAAACAAACCCAGAAAATCTGTCTTTCTGTTACCTGGCCCTCCTAGGGGGAAAGTCTGGGCTCTGAAGAGATTTCCTCATATGCTTGCTCTGTGGAAACAGAAACGCAAGGTCAAAGAACGCAACAAAAGTCCTGCAGAGGTGTTACCAGGGTCGGTGTCTAGGCCGAGTCGGTGCACCCAGGCTCGTTGGTTCTTAAAGACTTGAGATAAAGCTGCACAAAGATTTGCAGACGCAGCAGGGAGACTCGATTCAAAGCAAAGCAATAGGACAGGTCGGGCACACCGTCAAGAGTAACAGCAGCACATGAATGAGGGTACTGGGGACGGCCGTTATTGTTGGGGCCTTTGTACGGTATTCAAGAGAAGTGGGATGTATCTGGGTGGATATTTTTTTAAATATTTATTATGTATACAATATTCTGTCTGTGTGTGTGCCTGCAGGCCAGAAGAGGGCACCAGACCTCATTACAGATGGTTGTGAGCCACCATGTGGTTGCTGGGAATTGAACTCAGGACCTTTGGAAGAGCAGGCAGTGTTCTTAACCACTGAGCCATTTCTCCAGCCCCTGGGTGGATATTTTAAGTGACAGATTAAATTGCACAATCATTTTCCCGTCGTGAATGTCCCTTCCCAGAACATGTCTGATTTTGATTATATGCACACCCATCTTTGCATAGGTATAAGTAGAGGAGTCTCCCTAAAAGTTCACTTGGAGGACACGGTTTGACTAATTCCACAAAACCAGTTCAGACTGGATGGATCTCCCTACTTTCCTACCCCCACACAAGGAGAGACCCACTGAACAGACTCCATCTGTGTTTGGTGGCTGTTAAGGGGAGGAGACAATTCCATCGTTCGGAGTGGAGTGTGCATACGACTCAGGGCACGTGGGGGCCCTACGTGGCTAATAAGCTGCTAGGTGCACGTGCAAAAGGGTGTGTGTGTGTGTAGTATATGCAATAAAGGTCCTTGGCTGCCGAGTGTACTACTAATAGTGAGTGTGCTGGGCGGTGGTGGCTCATGTTTTTAATCCCAGCACTCAGGAGGCGGAGTCAGGCGAATCTCTGTGAGTTCGAGGTGAGCTACAATCTACAGTGAGAGTTCCAGGACAGCCAGGGCTACACGGAGAAACCCTGTCTTGAAAAATAAATAAATAAATAAATAAATAAATAAATAAGAAAGGAAGGAAGGGAAGGAGGGAGGGAAGGAGGAAGGGAAGGAGGAAGGGAGGAAGGAAGGAAGATAGATAGATAGATAGATAGATAGATAGATAGATAGATAGATAAGCATATTCCCTATGCTTACCCGCCTCTAAAATATTACAGCAACCTGGGTTTCAGATCTGAAATGACTGCCTGTTCCAAAAACTGGTTCTTTCCTATTGTCCCCTATTTCCTCTCCTGCCATTTGTCCTTATCTACCCACTGAAAACAAGCTGGCATCTGGAGCAATGACTCCTTTAAACATAGTGGTGATGATCTCACTCCAAGGAAAGGAGAGCTGAGCCCTCTTTCTCTTTCCTCATCCCTCACCAGCTCTTCAGCGACGTGGCGTATAAAGCCCGGAACCGAGAAGACCTCATTGCAGGAATTGATGAATTTCTAGATGAGGTCATTGTCCTTCCCCCTGGAGAATGGGATCCAAACATCAGAATTGAGCCACCCAAGAAAGTTCCCTCGGCTGACAAGAGGTGTGTGCTGAGGATGAGAACAACAGAGGGCGCTCCACATCGGCGGTTTATTCTCTTCCCAAGAAATCGGAAGCCAGCAGGGCGGCCTGTGAACAACCGTAAAGCCGGGCGGGAGTCCGTGTAGGGGGAGGGGTGTTATTGAATTCATGCTGGAATATGTGTGGGCGCATATGTGGAAGCCTGAGGTTGCTGCCCGGGAATTTTTCTTCATTGCTCTCCACCTTCTGTATTGAGACAGTCTCCCAGTGAACCCAGCGCTGGCAGATTTGCCTAGTCTTATTCGTTCTGGGTTTTCCCTGTGCTGGAATTACAAGTGGCTGGCTTGTCCACCTGACCTGCACATGGCTTCAGGGAATCCCAGTTCTTGTCTTCCTGTTTGTGTGGCAAATGCTTTAATAACTGAGCCATCTCCCCACCTCCGTCATCACTTCCCCTGCTATTTAAGTTATTAAAGTTTTGTTGTTGTTCTTGGAGGGGAAGGGGACAGTCTTGAGGGGCTGGGTCCTTCCAAGCACTGAGAGCCCTGCTCTTCCCCATCCCCAACTTTCTCTTTCAGGAAATCTGTGTTCTCTTTGGCAGAGCTGGGCCAGATGAACGGCTCTGCGGGCGGAGGCGGTGCCTCGGCTGGCGGAGGTGGCGGTGGCGGAGGGGCAGGAGGCAGCGGGGCCGGCGGAGTGGGCAGTGGAGACGAGGCTGAGATGCCAGCTGTGCATGAAATCGGAGAGGAGCTGATCTGGACCGGAAGGTGCCTGCTCCATGCCCGGCAGAGAGCCTACAGTCTTGAACCCTCTCTTCCTCCGGTCTTGTTAGCGATCCTTCCGCTGCTGCGTGCAGCGCCTTCTAGGGACGGGGTCTGACCACTGCAGTCTTCCGAACTCTAGCGAAGTCCCTCTTTGGTCTTGAGAAGAGTTGCGTGGGGTGAGAGGAACAGACGGACCCCGCCCAAGAGAAAGGAGCCCAAACTCTTCTCTAGACCTCCTTTGGTACCCGTGTCGGAAACAGTGTACCACAAGCAAGATAGTGTAAAATTACTGAAATCCATTTTCACACAGGTAGAAATGGAGAAGTCATCAGGGAGCAGTGCCATGGTGGACCCTACCTGTAATTCCAGAACTGGAGAGACTGAGGCAGGAGGATTGTTGCAAATTCCAGGCCTGGGTTATAATGTGGGACCCTGTCTCAACCCTGGCCTCTAAAATAAGTTGCCAGCAGGGCACCACTGACTTTGGGATTACAGGCAGAGCCTCCTCGGAATTCTAATGGCAGCTGAGAGTCTTATGGCTGTCCTTAGCTTGGCAGTTGCTTCCCCCAGTTTTTGTCTGTGTTGTTACATGGCTTTCCGAGACCCCGGGTGGGTGTTCGGGTAGTATTGCCCTGTTTCTCTAACAGCTGACTCAAAGCCCACTCTTCATGACTTCATTGTAACTTAATTATATCAGCCAAAAACTTTTTTGTAGTCTCATGTAACCCAAGCTGACCTCAAGCCTGCTATAGCTGAGGATGACCTTGAACCGACAATGCTGAACTCACAGGCACCGCCATGCTTGGGTTATAATCTAGGGCTTCATGCACAGTAGGCAAGCCCTCTACCAACCGAGCTGCATTCCCAACCCGGAGGCTTTCCAAATAGAATTATAGTCACAGCGCCAGGGGCTGAAGGTTTAATGTATCTCTTTAAAAGAAGGACGATCCAATATATAACAGTGTGTTTTAAAATCTTAGCATTATTTAAAGGCTTCGTTTTTTCTCTTCTTTGAGGAGAACAAGAGAAAACTGTCCTGGTCTGAGTCCTTTGGCTGCTCCTGGAGTCGCTCTGGTTGACTGAGATTTAGGACAAGGCTCTGCGCGAACAATGACTTTGGGGATAGAGCTGTGGGCTATGCCTTAGTTTCTCACTGTGAAAAGCCCTCTGACGAGAGCAACGTAAAGGAGGAAGGGTTTGTTCTGGCTTGAAGTTCAGGCTACCTCTCATCACGCTGGGGGAAGTCAAAGCCGCAGGAGCTTGAGGGAACCTGCCACATTGCAGCCACACCCAGGCAGTGAAACAGTAAATACGTGTTCTTTCTCATCTGGTTTTCTCATTCAGTCCCAGATCTCCTGCCCGGGGAGCAGCCTCTCCCTCAGTCAGGACAACCCCCAGCAGGCACACCTAGAGACCCATCTCCCAAATGAGTCTAGAGTCTGTGGAGTTGGCAGCTAACACTCACCATTATGTGTTATACAGGTCGGGCTGGTTAGGGACACGAGGAAGACCATCACGGTGGGATATTCCCATCAGAACGTCCTTCTCTTGAACAGTTTGAGTCCAGCTCCAACCTCCCCAGCATGGATGGTGCTGACTGCAAACTTACAAACTGACAAGAGTCATGTCTGATTCTCAGTGCTCTGGTAGAAAGACTGTAATTCCACCCACCCCTGCTCCTCACCCCAGACTCCTTGGGGCCCTTGAGTCACTCCGGCCCCTCCTAGTGTCTGTAGAGGAAAGCCGTCTCCTGCCTGTCTCAAGCAGGTTCTTTGGGGGACTACGCCTGGACGTCAAGCGGAAGCTGCCCTGGTTCCCAAGTGACTTCTATGACGGCTTCCACATCCAGTCCATCTCCGCAGTTCTGTTCATCTACCTGGGCTGTATCACCAATGCCATCACCTTTGGTGGACTTCTGGGGGATGCCACGGACAATTATCAGGTGAGCACGAGCTAGGGACAGACCAGTAAACATCAGTCAAATTTATTGCCACCTGGTAGCCATAAAGAGTTTCAGTTTGTATTCCCAGCACCAAGGTTGCGGGTGCCACCCTGAGTCTGGCCATCACCTTATGTAGCAGGGACAGAAATGACTCAGATACAGCTGTATCACCAAAGCCAACCCCAGCAAGGGTGACGGCACACAAAAGCTGGAAACACTGCATAGCCTGCGGGCAGCTCATCAGGGTGAAGAGTGTCCTTTCTGGGTGGCTCAACTGTCCTGAGCCTCCTGCGGGCAGCTCAGTTTGTCTGAGATTATCACTCAGCAGGCCTTATACTTGATGTCTGCATGGTGTGGGACTGACTAGTGTATCTGTTCAGATTCAGGGACTTCCTGAAGCCGTTGAGTTGTTTGCTTTCTAAACTTGAGGAGCTTCCCTGCAGGGTGGGAAGCTTCACCTCCCTTTCCAATGGGTTGTTTTACCCCTCTGTAAAACTCCTACGTCCTGATGAGTTTCCCTCCAAGATAGAAGGTGTCAGTTTCACAGGAAACTGCCACACAACAGCTTCTTCTGCCTCTCTGAGCCTCCTGCTTTCTCACATGACAGGGAGTAATGGAGAGCTTCCTTGGCACCGCCATGGCTGGTGCCTTGTTCTGCCTCTTCTCGGGGCAGCCCCTCATCATCCTCAGCAGCACGGGGCCCATTCTCATCTTCGAGAAGCTCCTCTTTGACTTCAGCAAGTAGGTACCACATGGTAGGCTCTATGCCTACTCTTGAAATTGAGGCAGTCAGCTAAGGCGAGGGTGGGGTTTGAGGAGTAGGAGGATGGAGGGGGCATGTGAGGAGGGGCATCTTCAGCTGTAGTTGGTGGGTGGTTCTTCTGATTCCTATAAATTGCCCTGAAGTCATCTTAGTGCAGATTAGCACTTAGGAAGCAAGCCAGGCCACGTCACTGGTCACTGGAAAGTCGGTGTAGTAGAAACAGAGCCTTGGACAGGTGCCTTGTGGATTTGGACTGGACCATTTCCTAAGGTGGCTCCAGACCATTCAGCTTAAAATCTCCTCCAAGCACCAAGGTCTTAGCAGCTTCCTGACACTCAGAGAAGTCCTGTCCTAGAATTCTCAAAGACCAGGCACCCCTAAAACTGGGGAGGTGGCTCAGTCAGTAAAGTGCTTGTCCTGTATGCACAAGGACCTGAGTTCAGTCCCCAAAAGTCACCCACATGTAAAATCTGGTGTCACATGCTTACAATCCTGGAGCTTGGGGGTGGAGATGGGTGGCTCCCTGGGACTCCCTGAAGGGACAGACTCTGGCCAGCTCAAGCATTGTGAGCACGACTCTGGCAGGCCTTGCCCTTCTCTCCCATTCTCTCTACCTTTGTAAAAATCAGAAGATTGCGTTCCTGAGGCTAGCCACCAAGGTCTAGTCCCTTATTTAGCCACGTTGTCCTCCTGAGGCTGACTACCAAGATCCAGCTATCAAAGTATTGAAGCCCAGCAATCAGAAGCCCCCACTGGCTCACCTAGTTAACACGCCCAATTAAAATTAAACACCTCATCCGAATGTGGGGTTTCCCCCTTTATCTTTATAGACCACCATTTGCCTGTGGGCCACATCTGTCTCCTCTCTAGCCAGACGCAGTCCTCTGTCTGTCTACCCTCCCTGAGACAAATATCCCTGCCCCCTCTCCCTTGTTCCCTTCCCCTTCTCCCCTGTCCTCAATCTCCTGTCTTTATCTCTTATTCCCTGTCCTCTGTCCCCCTGGGGCAAATAAATCTCCTTTGTGATGAGAACCCAGCTTCAGGGGTGCTGAGTAGACACTTTTCCTTTTACTCTCTACCCGTGCATTCAGTATACACACAAACCCACAAATACATGTGCATGCAACATACATAAGCACACACACACAGATCAGGCATCCCAACCTGGGATAGTCCCTGTCCTATCCTTTCTCAGTCCTTAGACAGACATCCATGCTACAAAGAGGTATGAGCTACTCTGGGCGGGGCTGGGGAGCCAACCCCAGGAGGTCACTCACTTCCCTTTGCCATCCAGGGCCAATGGCCTGGACTACATGGAGTTCCGCCTCTGGATTGGCCTGCACTCAGCCATCCAGTGCCTTATCCTGGTGGCCACAGATGCCAGCTTTATCATCAAGTATATCACCCGCTTCACCGAAGAGGGCTTCTCAACCCTCATCAGCTTCATCTTCATCTACGACGCCATCAAAAAGATGATTGGTGCCTTCAGCTACTATCCCATTAACACGGACTTCAAGCCTGACTCCATCACCACCTACAGATGCGAGTGTGTGGCTCCTGACACAGGTAATCCCCGACGTGCACTGCCCCCCACCCCTCCTACCGCAGCTCTCAGTGCAGGAGGGGAGCTCGTCTGGAGGGGCTGTTGGCCAGGTGCTCACTATCCCAAAGGAGCAAATGTTGGACCTTTGTTTATTGAAACGGCGTCTGCTTATGTAATCGAGGCTGGCCTTGGTTGTGGTACCCAGACTGGCTTTGAAATTCACAATGCTAATTGCAGAGTCTTGAACCTAATTTTCGGAAAGAATTTGAGGGGATGATAACTCCAGTAAAAGCCACCACACGGCTGTGGTCAAAGCAACCAGGGTTGTAATCAGGAAGCTGCAGGGTACTTCATGAAAGAGCAAGGCATGATTTACTGAATAGGGGCTGGGTTGGAGGTTATTCCTGTCAGTAATACTGCCCAAGTTGGGGTAGATCTGATGATCCCTCCCAGTGCCATTAACACATGGTAACTTGCCTCAACATACCACTGCCAATGCGGTTACAAGCTTTATAAAGCGAGACCAACCCAGGGGACAAACATCCCTACTACAGTCAGGGTGGAGGCCTTGCCAGTCATGCCGTCAGAAGAGCTGGGGAAACTGGCTTCATTCAGCCTCCTAGGCATATGAATGGGTTGAGGGGATTGTCATGAAGGACCTTATCTACCCTCTGGGACCACAGGATGTGGAATGAGAATTGAGGAGACATTCCAGGAAGCCAGCTGCTGCTGGTTTAGGGAAGAATTTGCAGTGGGGAGAGCTCGTGAGAGCTACCAACCCCCTACTGTCTGGCATGCATGCGCCAACAGTATTTAAAGGACCCCAGCACCGAGTGGACTGGAGCAAACAACTGGCCAACCTAATAATAAAGTCTCAGTGCCATTCATGTTTGTTGCTTTCTGACCAAAGAAGTCATCATCTGCAAAGTGAAGGCCTCAGAATGGGATGTCCGTCACAGTCAACCATGCCCCTAAGAGCTAGGGGGATGAACCTAGAGGGCCCAAGGGAATGCAGTATAGGGTGCAAGACCTACCCAAGCACCACTATACTGGCCTGGCAGAAAGCAAACTGAGGTCCAGAGGCCACCCAAGGCCACACTGAACCTCAGTTTCCCTGACTGTCAAAGAGTAATCAGTGTTTATTAGAGATGCCTGCAAGGTTTTCAAATTAGTAGATATTAGAGTTGTTCAATCCCTTAGCTTAATGACAATAATAATAATAATAATAGTAATAATCAAAAGAATTGACCATGCCAGGTGAATTAGCATACACTTCTAATCCCAGCACTTGAGAATCAGAAGGAAGGGGATCTTTGTGAGTTCAAGACCAGCCCGGTCTACATAGGAATTTCCAGACCAGTCCAGGCTATGTACTGAGACCCTGCCTTAAAAAGATTGATTTTGTCAGCTGATATTCTGCATTGCAAGTATGAGATCCTACTCTGGCCTGTGTCTCTCGTAAGATGCTCTTCCTGCTAGGGGTAGCATCACACCTCCCCTTATGGCTCTGATTTTGGAAAGAAGTCTATCTAGGCTTAGCTTTTTTCTCTCTCTTTTCTTTTTTCTAGCCTTAACTTTTTTTTTTAAAGATTTATTTATTTATTATGTATACAACATTCTGCCTCAATGTATGCCCGCACGCCAGAGGAGGGCGCCAGATCTCAGTACAGATGGTTGTGAGCCACCATGTGGTTGCTGGGAATTGAACTCAGGACCTCTGGAAGAACAGCCAGTGCTCTTAACCTCTGAGCCATCTCTCCAGCCCCTAGCCTTAGCTTTGAGTTGTTCTATTAAACAGTGAGAGGTGAGATTTACCCTTTGACCAGGTCATTGTCTAGACTCCTAAAGAGGTCCTACCACAGGCTCTTTTGATTCTGTGGGATAGGGGGCTTTTTGGATCCAGTCCACACACTGGGTCTAACCCAGCCTTCTAGAAACACATGTCCTTGTCTCTTTTTAGAAATAGCCAAAATCCTGGGGTCCTGCGAGGAGCTTTGGCTACTCAGTGAACCATCTGTTTACCTAGGGGTGCCCTGTGCAGGGGCTGGAGGAGCATAGTCAGTGAGCTTCAGAGGGCATTATAAAGCTTGCCTGTTTCTGAATTACTTCCCATCATTCTTGCCTGCATACCTGATTATCTTGAATCATCTTCATGGTTCTGAGTGCATGGTCCCAAGCCTGGCAGCATCAGCACCAACTAGGAACTTATCAGAAATACAGAACCGTGGGCTCCAACCCCAGACCTGAGCCTAGAAACTCTGGGGCAGAGCCCAGCTGGCTATGTACAGACAAGCCTCCCAAGGGCTTCTGCTGCTCCCTCCCCAAGTCTGAAAATCTTTGCTTTACAGAGCTGTGATTAACCACTGATCCCACAAGATTTCTCTACATAGAATAAACGAGCCAGTGCCATTGCCGGGTCACTTTCATTAGGAGAAATGAGAAGGCAAAGGTCTGGACATTAGCAGACGAGGGTAGTGGGGACATGACGGGGTTTTCTTCCCAGTTTGTGTGCCACCTACCGACTAACTGCTCCATTTCCCTAGCTTAGCTACACAGCCCAGTTAGATGGGACACCACCCTTCTCTCACGTTCTTTCTCACACAAGCTTGCTTGGGACACTATCTTTTTCTATTTAATTTTTTTCCATGGTAACTGATTTGTATTCTGTTTACGGATGCTGCAAATGCTGACTTGGCCGCTCTCAACTTTAAGTGAGTACCACTCTGTGCACACTAGAATTAATTGTACAATATTTGATATTCGGACCTTTCTGGAATTTTCCACACTATAGTTCTTACATCTCTTGTAGGGTTTCACTTCTTGCTATAAAAGAATTGACAAGCCCAAGTAGAAGATATCGAGATGTCTGGCCTGCAGACTCTGGGTGCTGGGGCTCTTGAGCAGCAGAATGAATAGTCCCTACAGGGGCTTCTTGCCTGGCTTCTCTGTCCATAGCGTTAACTGGGCATCGTCTTTCCTTGTGAGGAGAGGCAATAGATTACCTGATTTCCCATGAAGAGGCTTTCTCAGGATAGTTTTTAGGAAATGATGCCTTTGGTACTGTTCTGTCCAGGGTCAACACTGATCCAGCTGGCCCAGAAGCAACCGGCTTCTGTGATCATATCCAGCCCTGTGGACAGCTTGCTAGAGGCTGGGTGAGGTCTCAGGATCAGGGTCTTTTCGCTGGGTGGTAGCCAGCCAACTGAAACAAATGAGTATTCTATAACACTTCAGATAATAGCAGCAACAGCCCCCGGCCCCTAAACCTGCCACTGAGGAACTGCTTGGAGAAGAAAGGGGAGAAGCCAGGCTCCCCTCCACCCATGCAGTCCAGAGAGTGGGCAAGCCAACATTTGTGATGAGTGGCCACATTACCTGGGGAGCCTGGCCCTATGGGTGATGAAGAATCAGGGAAGCCAGACACAGGAGAGGGAGGGCCAGAAGTGAGGCTGGGAATGGCTCCCCCAGCTTCCCTCCCAGACCTCAAGAGAGTGTTAGATACTCCACTTACACTTAGGGACACAGGTCAGGGAAGGGGGTGCTTAGCAAGGGACTCAGAGTGAAGAGCTGGCAGCCAGCAGCCCTTTGGGGCTTCTGGTTCTCCTTCTGGACCTAGATCCAGGTTCACTTTCCTTGCCTTGCACTGGAGGGGCAGATTAGAGAAGGCGACATCAGGCACACCCTGGCAAGTCCAGGGGGGCTTTAAAGTGCATGGACAGTGGGTGGGAGAGAGGTGTCCGTAGATAGAAACTGGGTGGAAAGGAAGCCTTATAGTTTCTCTCCCAGTGGTCTGGGATGGGGTCATAGCGCCAAGCATGGGCTCTGAAACCTTAGATAATAGATAAGTTAATGTCACAGCCTCAGTTGCCTCATCTATAAAATGGGGATACGTCACGGAGATTTGGGAAAGAAATGAGTGCATTCCCAGGGTTTGGCATAGTGCATGACATGGAACTAGCTCTTTGAAATGTTTTTCTAAAGTTTGGCAGCACACAGTTGTGTCTAGCACCTGCAGGGATTCACAAGACACACTCTTCATCAGCCTGTCTCAGCACCAGATTGCTCAGCTGAGTGTTAGAACTGGCTGTTGGTCCTCAGGACGAGCTGTTCTGCACTGGCGCAGCTGCCTGTCCAACTCCCTCCCTTATGGGAGCAGAGGGGACGTGAAGTCTGAGATCAGAGGGAGCTGGGCAGAGACTGCAGGCTACATCTAAGACCCGCTGACCCTAACTTGTCCTCTGTGTCTTCTCCAGTGAACACAACCACGGTCAATGTCTCAGCCCTGCTGGCACCAAACACCAACACGTCTCTGGTAAGCCCTTTCTTATCAGGACAGACTGCTCGTGGGCTTTGTTTATGGTGGGGAGTCAGGAAGGAGTTGGGGTGTCAATCCCAGGAGCACCTGGGCTCCATACCTAACTGTAAGCACTGTGCTCTAAGGCATCCTCCGTGTGCAACATCTCTATACAGAAATACAATACAATGTGTGGGTGCCCAGAGGCGATAAATGTGACCAGAGCTATACACATACACAGGTTGTAGCTTGTTCTCCCAGGAACCCCCAGTTCCTATCCAACTGTGCACTCTCAGACCCAGAAGTTTATCACCCCCCCCCATGAACTTGACCTGTCCTTGGCACCCATTTGTCTCCACGGTCCCCCATGGGTCTGCCTTCCCAAACAACGGAAAGTGGTGGCTTTCAGGCCTCTCCCAGCCTAAGTAGATTGAAGGATGCAAAGTTAAAATCCAGGTAAAGGGTCGCATGTAGGCCTTGGCGCAGCCTTGGATGCTTCGAGTGTCCCTAAGGATGCTTACATTCCCCTGCGCAGGCAGCCAATGGCTCAGTCTATGTCCATCTCAGTTGACTACATAGCCAAAAACTTCAAATCTCAGACCTTGAGGAGGGCAGAGGCAGGCAGTGCTTACTCTCTGGTGCCTATTATGTGTTAAGTGCTGGGAGCTGGCCTCAGAGGGCCAGCTGGGATGGTTGGGTCTGAGTCTTTGCATGGCTTTTTCACTCCTTGGCCACTCAGCAGAGCAGGCTCAGGTTTCTAAGAGTTTCTAAGCGGAAAGGCATGTGAGGCCTTTTACAATGGCTTCGACTAACTCCCAACCCCTTTCCCTTCCGCTCAGCGTGATAAAACATCTGGCAAAAGAAAGCAGCTTTAAGGCAGAAAGGGGTTTATTCAGCTCCCAGTTCCAGGCTACAGTCCATCACTGCAAGGAAGTCAAAGCTGCAGAGGCTTGAGGCAGTGAGTCAAGAACGGAGGGAGAATGAATGCACGCTTAAGACAGATGCAATTAATATTTTTATTTGCAACTGCTTAAATCCACGTATGTGAAGCCAACAGTTACAAAGCATACATATATATATGTATATGTGTGTATATATATATTCACTGTTTAGTAGTCTCTAAATTTTAGCATCTGCGACACCAAGGAAGGAAGTGGTTGGAATGACCCAAGAAGGAAATAATGAGGATATGCATAGAGAAAGGAAGAGACACTGTCTCCAGGAAGGCAGCATCAGTAGCACCATGGCTCTTGGCCTGGAACGGGAGACAGACCTGTGGGAGGAAGGAGAAAGCATCTTCCTACTGCTGTCAAAACCACATAGCTCAGGGGGCTGGAGAGATGGCTCAGTGGTTAAGAGCACAGACTGCTCTTCCAGAGGACCTGGGTTCAATTCCCAGCACCCACATGGCAGCTCACAACTGTCTGAAGATCAGTTCCAGGGGATCTGACACTTCACACCAATGCACATAAAATAAAGTTAAATAAACCATAAAAATGTTTAAAAAAAAAAACCACATAGCTCAGAACACACTGAAGAAACAGTCCCTAACCTTCCTGGGGAACTGCCTGTTTGTCCTTTAAACAGCCTGCCCCAGGGACACCATTCTGCTACTAAGGGCATCATCATGGACAGGAGAGGAGGGCTAGGGACCCTCAAAGGTTTGGTAGGTTTTAAGCTTACCCAGGGCCACAGGGAGAAGGACACACTGTCTAAAGGAGGGTCCTGACCCCTTTTCTCCTGTGCTTGGTCTCCAAGTACACCCCCCTTAACCTCACAGCGCTGGATTGGTCCTTGCTGAGCAAGAAAGAGTGTCTGAGCTACGGTGGGCGCCTGCTCGGGAACTCCTGCCGGTTCATCCCAGACCTGGCCCTCATGTCCTTCATCCTTTTCTTTGGGACTTACTCCATGACCTTGACCCTGAAGAAATTCAAATTCAGCCGCTACTTTCCTACCAAGGTAAGAATCCCCTGCAGGTAGGCAGAACTTCCATCCTGGGTGTTCGTAAGGGAGGCTCAACTCAGTGAGACGGCTCTGTAGGTACAGTTCACTACCACTGACAGCCTGTGTATCCCCAAGACCCACACGGTGAAAGAAGAGAATCTGCTCCCACACATCCTTCTCTGACCTCCACAGTGGGGGCCAATGGCACCTATGCATGTGTGTGTGTGTGTGTGTGTGTGTTTAAAGGAACACCCCCATGCAGTCTTTCCAGGGGGCGCTATCTGAAAAGATGACCGCCAAGGATGCTCTGACCAGAGGAATTTATACAAATTAAGAGCACAAACTTTGCCCAGTCCTGTGGTCCAAGCGTATAATCACAGCTCCACAGAGACTAAGGCAGGAGGATCATAAATTCAAAGCCAGCCTGGGAAACATACATCCTATCTCAAAAGAAAATGAAGGGGCTAAAAAGATAGCTCCATAGTTAAGAACATCTGCTGCTCTCCCAGAGGACCTGAGTTTAGATCCCAGCACACACATTGTGTGATTCACAACTGTCTGTAACTTCAGCTTCAGGGGGACAGGATGCCCTCACTTGCCACCAGAGGCCCATAATACCATTCAGTTACACACACACACACACACACACACACACACACACACACACACACACAAGAAATAACAAAAATACATGTTTAAGAATAAGATTCAAGTTTTTAAAAGAGGGTTAGGAATATAGATCAGAGTGCTTATCTGTCATGCAGGAGGCCCTAGATTGATTGATTGATTTCTTTCTTCCTTTTGGTATTTTTCAAGATGAGACAGGGTTTCTCTGTGTAATAGCCCTGGCTGTTCTGGAACTTTGTAGATCAGGCTGGTCTTGAACTCACAGAGATCCACCTGCCTTTGCCTCCTAAGTGCTAGGACTAAAGGCATGCACCACCATGCCTAGATGAGGCTCTAGATTTAATCTCCAGTATTGAAAATCAAACAACAGCAAACAAGACTTTGGAGGCGGAAAGGTCCAGATTCCCATGACAGCACCTGGTGTTTTCCTCTTGGCCTTTTGCTTCTAAACTCCTTGTGTTTCTAAATCTTTTATCCCCTGGTGACTGATAAAGTAAAACAGCAGCAGCAACAAAACACCTTACCGTGTGTTTATTGGCCATATAGCCAAGTTGGCTTTGTTCTTGGAAATATTCTGTTTCAACTGTCATGTTTTCTGTCGAGTTTGGTTTCTATGTGATGTGTACTCTCTTTCTTGTGATGTATGTGTTGCAAAGACCTGTTTCCATTCTGTTAACTGGCTCTTTGAGTCTTTTAAAAATTTGCTATTACTTTTTTTTTATTTTTTATTTTTTATTTTAATTTGTTTGTGTGCGTACATATATTGTGCTCATGTATTGAAGGTCAGAGGACAATCTGTAGGGGGTCACTCCTTCCCTCCCACCATGTGGGTCCTGGGAGTAAAACTCAGGTCCTCAGGGTTACCTACTGAGCCTTCTTGCTAGGCCCCTTTTAAATTTCTTGGTTGTTTTTAAGACTCATTTGTTTTATTTATGTGTATGAATGCTTTGCCTGTGTGTATGTATGTTCACCACATGCATGCAGTGTCCAAAGAAACTAGATAAGGGGCATCTGATCTGATAGAATTGGAGTTACAGATTGTTGTGAGCCACCATGTATGTTCTGGGAAGCAAACCTTAGCAAGAGTGGCCAGTGCTCTTAACTGCCGAGTCTCCTTCTCCCAGCCTCTCCCGCTCTTTGACTTGGCTCATGGTAGCTGCTGATGAACAGAAGTCTCAGTTTTGCTGTAATCAAACAGCCAAATCTCCCTTTTAGAAAACACTGACGGAAACCCCATGTCATCTCTTAAAGCCTGGTTTGCCTTTCGTGTTTGCTCTGCGATCCATCGTAAGCGATTCTGATGTCTAATGGGAGATAGTGACGCTTTGTGTTTTGTATAAATGGCTCATTGTCCCAGTTTCTGTTTTTGCTTTTAAAGAGCATTGTTTTCTGTACTGTTTTGCAAATCATCCTTTGCCATGTCTCATGTGTTCCTGCACAACAGTGTCCCTTCTGGTTTGTTTTTCTTCCATTTCACTGGCTTGTTTATATGCCAGTACCACAGTCCTCAACTCTACACTTTATGAAAAGTATCGTCTTATAGACCAAGTTCTTCTCTGTCTTTTTCCAGTAACATCATCATTGCCCTTGCATTTCTAGCTGAACTTTAGTGCCATTCTAAATTTCACCAAAGTTAGGAACCAGCGGAAAGACTTAGCAGGTAAAGGTGCTTGCATCCAAGACTAGTGACCTAAGTTGCATCCCTGGGGCCCACATGGTAGAAGGAGAGAACCATCTCCCATAAACTGTCCTGTGACCTCCACACACACGAGCTGTCGTTTGTACACGCACGCACACACACGCACAAACATTTTTTTAAAAAAGAAAAAAAAGGTGTTTTGTTGCCTCCTGGAGAAAAACAAGACTGATGTGGTTGGTACTCATAAGATTGGTGAAAGTAAAGTTGAATACCAGGGACTGCAGATGGAAAGCGCTGTTCAGGAGTGCCAGCCATGGACGGAGCTGAAAATGACACGGTCCTCGGGCCGTCACCTCCACACCCTGGTGTACACTCCAGGGAGTCTCACACATGAACAGTTGTCACAAGAACATCGATTCTAGGAGGGAAAAATGAAAGTAATCAGTGTTGTTGTTTTTTAATTTGAAACAGGGTCTCACTTAGCCTATAGTTCCACTGGTCTCAGACTCATGACAATTCTCCTGCATCAGCTTTCCAAAGCAGGAGGGACACATTGACTAATCTGAATCAACTTACAGTACAATAGATAAATGGATCAATAGTTATGGGTTCTCAGCACCCACGTGGTGGCTCACAGCTGTTGGTAACTTCAGTTCCAGGGAATTCAACACTCCCTTCTGGCCTCCTTGAGCACCAGGCATGCATACAGTACACTCATACACACAGACAAAACACCTATACACATAAAAATAATTTTAAAATAAATAAACAGGAAACAATCATGGAACCATTGTTACAATTAACATACATCGCTCTTTCTACCAGGAAAAATGTCACAAGAATAATGTTGAACAAATAAAGGAAGTGTCAGGGGGCTGGAGAGATGGCTCAGAGGTTTAGAACACTGGCTGCTCTTCCAGAGGTTCTGGGTTCGATTCCCAGCAACCACATGGTGGCTCACAGCCTTCTAGTGAGATCTATCTGATGTGCAGGTATATATAATAAAAGTAAGTAAGTCTTAAAAAAAGAGAGGAAGTGTCAGAAGATTACCAATAATATGTTACCATTTATGTGAAATTTTTAACTGCACCAAACAAAACTATATTTTCTTGAATGAGATAAAATTGTCGGTAGTTTTCTGTAGAGTGCAAAATGCCACTGAGGGCGAAAGATACCAACAAAATGTAGAATTCTCTCTCTCTCTCTCTTTCCTGAGACTGGTCTCTCTCTATAGCCTCGACTGTTCTAGAACTTACCATGTAGATCAGGCTGGCCACCACACCCAGAAAAAAATTTATTTCTATTTTATTTTTTATTTTTGGTTTTTTAAGACAGGGTTTCTTTATTTAGCCCTGGATGTCCTGGAACTCACTCTGTAGACCAGGCTGGTCACTAACTTGGAGATTCCACTGCCTCTGCCTCTCAAGTGCTGGAATTAAAGGTGTGCACCACCCCCACCCAAAATTTTTTATTTCTTAAGGCCGAAGAAAGTACATTGTTTGGTATTATGTCCATCTTTGTATTAGGTTAGACCATGTGAAATTACCTGGATTTGACAAAATGGCCAAGTTCATATTGTTTAGCTTAATAATTCTTTGATCTGGGTGCTGCGATTATAAGGAAAGAAGCAGCTACTGCTGTGCATCTCGACTGTGCTGTGACCAATTTTATATATTTAAACTATTAGAATCAAAATGGAGCAAGGCATGGCAGCACACACCTTTCATCCCAGCATTCAGGAGACAGGCGGATCTCACCTTTCATCCCAGCACTCAGGAGACAGACGGACCCCTGTGAGTTTAAGGACAAGCCTGGTCTACATAGTGAGTTCCAGGACAGCCAGCGTTATGTAGAGAGACCCTGTCTTAAAAATACATACTCAGCCTAGATGGAGTAGGGAGGGCCTTGGACCTTTCACAAAGCAAAATGCCTTACCATCGCTTAAGATTAGAGGGGGGTGGGGTGAGAGGGTGTGTAGAAGGAATGGGAGGTGGGGAGGGAGTGGGAAATTGGATTGGTATTTTTTAATGTAATAAGTAAAAACAAAAAAATACATATATCAGAGATGGCTGAGCAGTTCAGATCATTTATTACTCTTACAGAAGCCCTGAGTCCAGTTCCCAGTACACAAATCAGGCGTTCACAACTGCCTGGCCTCTGTGAGCACGGCACTTATGCACACACACACACACACACACACAATTTAAAATTAGAAAATCTTTTCACAAAAAGTATCCACTTGACTACAGAGATCAGAGTGCAGGTGTCACAAGCAGAAGGGGTCAGAGCAGGAGAGAGGTGGTGGCCAGGGCAGGGCAGGGCAGGGCAGCAATGCCACCTGCTGTGATAGTGGATTAAAGGCCCTGGCACAAACTGGAGGCAGTGATGTAATACAAACAGCAGAGGCAGTTCATGGAAGGAATTTTAAACTAACTCCCCAGGGTTTGGAATGAGCAGGAAGGACAGCATAAATCAATCTAAACCCTCTCCTATAGGTGGTGCTTTTTAAAAAAAAAAAATTCATTTTACATCTCGGCCGGAGTTTACCCTTCTTGCTCTGCTCCCAGTCCCTCCCCATATCCTCCCTCTGTTCCCAGTCCCCAATCCACTCCTCCTCCCTTTCTGTTCAGGATCTCTCCTGTGGATATCAACAAAACATGGCCTATCAAGTTGCAGCAAGACCAAACACCTCACTTCTTAAGGGACAAGTGGCATTCAGCCACCCGAGATTGAGCACAACAGGTCTGTGATGCCCTTAGATGTCTGGGGCTGACTGGCTCAGCATATACTTACCCTCCGCCTTCAGGCGCAGCTAACCCATTGAACCCCATTTGTGATGGGGATCAGGGATTGCAATTCTACCCCATGAATGAGTTAAAAAAAAAAAAAGACTAGACACCTCCCCATGTATTAAGGCCGGGCAAGGTGACCCAATATGGGGAGTAGGGTCTTTTAATTAGTAATTCAAACCACGAAAGTCCGTTAGATGGCTCAGCACACTGGGCCCGATCCCAGAACCCATATAAAGCTGGGAGAAGTGAATCCTCAATCTTGCTCTCTGACCTCCACGTGAACACTGTGGCCTGTGTGCCCCGCCCCCCCCATTGTTCACCCACGCAGACAGTAGTAAAAATATACAAACAATTGTTTTAAAGTATGAAGCTGTGTGTTGATTGCCACGGAAGAGACTTCAAGAACTAAAACCAAGTGTGGGTATATATGGAAGGTAGGACCTACCAGGTGAGAACAAGTGAGTGGGGTGGAGATATGCCCCCCCCCCAGTTATGCGAATTTTAACCAGTTACCTGCTGTTTGAATAGCAAACCAGAAAGGGTTGGGGGGGGGGAGATAAAGTCTGTGTGCTGCGTCTACCTCCACCCTCAAGCGGTTTCCATAAACAGAATGTCAGAGCTCAGCTCCAGCCAGTGGTGGTACAGAGAGGCGCAGAGGGGGCCGTCAGTCATCTGCTCTGGTGCTCAGCCACAGTTCTGCGACCTGGGATGTCTGTGTGTCTCTTTAGCATCCCTGGCTCTCTCCCACAGACGCTTGAAACGTCAGTTTCGACTGATGTCAACCTTGTCCTCCTTCAGGGACACTCGGGTAGGTGGGAGGTGCTTTAACAGTGTGAGCATGCTGAGCTGTGACGTGTCCCCGCGGGTTCCTTTCCACACAAAGAACACGTGTGCCACTTTCTCTGAAAAGACAGAAAAAGACAACAAGTAGACCCTGGGGGGCACTGGTTTCAAAAGGACGAGAGCAGGTCCATGGTGAGGAACGGCCTTCTGAAAACAGCCAGAGACTGGAGACTCTTAGCAGATAGGTCTGAGAGTAGTCAAGGGTCCCCCATGGAATGGAAGGGGGTCCCTCTCAGCCCAGGTGGGGTACAACGATCTGTCAGCGTGGTTGGAGGAGCTAGGATTTCCTGGTGAGTTCAACTCACCCACATGCTGGGAGGCCAAAGTCAGCCATCTATTTATTCATTTTTATTTTTATTTATTTATTTATTCATTTATTTATTTATATCAGAGTATGACCTCAGCAAGGGTTGTCACTCTGGCCAAATCCTCCCAAGTTCTCTCGACTGCTACCTCCAAGGTGGTGCCATATCATCTCCACTGTGCAGGAGAAGAAACTGAGGCCTAGAGAGGTAGATGGCGGCTATCCCCAAGGTCGCTGATCCAAGCTGTAAGCCCAGGCTTGCTGACGTGCTCACCAAGGTCACTGATCCAAGACCAGGCCTGCCGACCGCGCTCACTCCCCCATTTCTGCTCTGCAGGTCCGGACCCTGGTGGCTGACTTCTCCATTGTTTTCTCCATCTTGCTATTTTGTGGCATCGACGCCTGTTTTGGCCTGCAAACCCCCAAGCTGCATGTGCCTAACGTCATCAAGGTTTGCTCCCTGCCCTGGGCAGTCACTCTGCCCGCCTCCTGCTTTCAAGCTTCTCAGCTGTGCTCTTCAAACTTTCCCCTCTCAGCCCAGAGATCCTTATGTGTGTTCTAGCCCTTTGTGTGTTCCCCCCAGGGTGGTCACTCAAGAGGTAGGTGCAGACATGTAACGTGGGCCTGTGGACCTTCAGAGTGGGGAAGGCTGGACTCTGCTCTCCAAGCCAGAGGAAGCCTCACGCTGTGTGGGAAGCTTTCAGATCCCCCAACTGTGGCCATCACAAACTGGGCCACCTGAGACCTGTCCAAAGTGATCCCTTAGAATGGTCGACCCCCAAGTGCGGACCCTGTACTGGTGGTGTAGTGTTACTTACAGGTGGGCATCCTTGTGGCCCTGTGCTCCTTCACGGGGCTCCCCTGGTATGTGGCTGCCACGGTCATCTCCATCGCCCACATCAACAGCCTCAAGATGGAGACAGAGACCAGTGCCCAGGGGGAGCAGCCCTAGTTCCTGGGGGTGGAGAGAGATACCAGTGTCCCCGGGGGAGCAGCCCTAGTTCCTGAGGGTAGGTAGGAAGGAACTGAAAACTGCAGATTCTCTGCCGGATGTAGTGGCACACACCTTTAGTCCCATCACTTGGCCAAGGGAGTCAGAAGCAGGTGGGAGTCTGAGGCCAGCGTGGTTTACATAGTGAGTTTCAGGATGCAAAAGATTATATAGTGACACCTTGTCTCATTTAAAAAAGGAAAAGAAGAAGAAGAAATTAAAAATCCTTCTTTGTTTGTGGAGACAGGGTTTCTCTGTGTAATAGTCCTGGTAGTCCTGGCCGTCCTAGAACTCACTCTGTAGCCCAGGCTGGCCTTGAATTCACAGAGATCAGCCTGCCTGTGCCTCCTGAGCTGAGACTAAAGGCATGCGCCACCACCACCCAGCTCTAATACAGATTCTTAGTCCTATCCTAGACCTGTATAATCAATCTGAAACGCTGAGGTAGACCCTTTAATGAGCTCTCTACACGATGCTGGGCATGCTTAAAGCTGAGGTCTGTGATTCAAAAGTTGCTCCTTAGGGGCTGGTGAGACGCCTCAGTGGGTAGAGGCGCTCACCGCCATGGCTGACAGCCTGAGTTCAATCCCTGGGGTGCACCAGTAGAAGAGGGAATCAACTCCCACAGGTTGTTCTCTGACCACCACACATGCACTGTGGCACAAGTACACACATACACACATAAGATACAATTAAAAAATTTATAAAAACTTTAAAGAACTTGGAAAAAAATTACACAGTAAGATTAGCCAGCCCCAAAGTCCACCCATCTCAACAGACTTCTGTATAGCCAAATTAGTCACTCTGAAGCTGTGGAGTTCCTTGTTTGATTTTACATTTTACCATCAAATATATTTTTATGCAGCTAACTATAACCAAAACCAAAAATATCCACGGTAGAGTTAAAAGTAGAAAGGCAGTTCATTTGCATCTTCTTTCATGACTCACGTCCAAAATGTAATTTTGCGTCTATGTGTGAGATTTTTTTTTTTCCGAGACAGATTTTTCTGTGCCACACTGACTATCCTGGTACTCACTCTGTGGACTAGGCTGGTCTCCAATTCAGAGTCCCACCTACCTCTGTCTCCCTAGTGCTGGGATTAAAGGTGTGCACCACTATGCCTGGCCTCAAATTATAATTAAAAAGGAGAAAAAAATTACCCATTCAGAATTGATGGTTTGTTTACAGCTAAACACAAACCCTCCCAAATGCACGAGCTATCCAACCAAAGCAGGGAATCCATGTCTAGAACCTGTTTGAAGTCATGTTAGCCTTAATATAAAAGCACTGGTTTCTGAAAGTTGGGGGACAGCTCCACAAGTAAGACCCCTTGCTCTGAAGACAGGAGCATCTGAGTTTGAACCTCCAGCACCCACAGCAAAAACCAGGCATGGCTGTGTTTGCCAGCCACCCATCAGAGGGCAGAGACGGGCTGAGTCTGGGTGCTCACTGGCTGGCCAGCCTAGCTGGCCCAAATGGTGAGCTGTGTCCGTGAGAGGCTGTGAATCAGAGCGATGAAGGCTGAGCAACAGAAGACATCGGATAATACTGCTCTGGGTTTGCATGCTCACATGCACACCACACACATATATGCGCACACACACACACGTGCACACACGCTCAAGCACACCACACACCTCTTTCTCTTAAATGACCACCTCTGTACACATTCTTGACACACAAGTCTGAACTGATGTTTGACTTTGTTTTGTTTTTTTTGTTTTTTTTTTTGTTTTGTTTTGTTTTTCGAGGCAGGGTTTCTCTGTAGATTTGGTGCCTCTCCCAGAACTAGCTCTTGTAGACCAGGCTGGCCTTGAACTCCCAGAGAGATCCACCTGCCTCTGCCTCCCTAGTGCTGGGATTAAAGGCGTGCGCCACCACCGCCCGGCTTTGTTTTTTTTTTTTTTTTTTTTTTTTTTTTTTTTTTTTTTTTTTTTTGAGATGGATTCTCTGTGGCTTTGGAGTCTGTCCTGGAATTAGCTCTTGTAGACCAGGCTGGACTCGAACTCACAGAGATCCGCCTGCCTCTGCCTCCCAAGTGGAGGGATTAAAGGCGTGTGCCACCACTGTCCAGCTCTGACGTTTGACTTTTTAAGACAGCCCTCAGGGCTCCTTAGGCAGATGGCTTTGCAGAGGCAGCACTAGGCTGTCGCAGGCTTTTTCTCTTGGGCCACCAACCAGCTTCCAAATCAAGACACAGAATCTTCTTATTAGTCAAGAATGCTCAACCTATTTTAGCTCTTATTTCTTGCTGGCTCTCACAACTTAAATTATCCTGTTTCTCTTCATCTATGTTTTGCCTCGGGGCTTTTTACCTTTCTGTCTTTCTGTATGGCCTACTTTCACTGCTTCTTGTGTCTGTCTGACTGTCAGCTGCCTGGTCTCGGGCCCTGAGAGTGTCTCTCTCCTTCTCTTTCTCCCTCATTCTCCTCCTCCTCTTCTTCTCTCTCCTCCTACTCATCCTTTCTGGCCTCCAGCCCCACTTATCCCTCTCCTGCCTAGCCATTGGCCCTTCAGCTTTTTATTAGATCAATCAGGTACTTTAAACAGGCTAGAGGAACTGAATGCAAGGCATTTTTTTTATTAATTAAACAAATGCAGCATAAACAAACGTAACACACCTTTACCTCGTTAACAAGGGCAGCAGAAACAAGTGTAACAGACTTTCACATAGGTAAAGTGGTATTCCGCAGCATAAACAAATATAGTATGTATTTGCTTAGTTAAAATAATACTCCACGACACTTGGCCCATCAGATACTTTGTTGCTATGGTCTGCCAGGCCTTATTCTTGCCATTTGTCTTTGTGTGACCAGTGATGACACATGCCCTCCTGGTGGCCCTCTGATCCTCACCTGTTTTCCCAGGGTGTTGCAGCTGCTGTGTTCTGTGTAGCTCTGTATTCCCAGTGTGTCTGAGCTCCTTCCCATGCCTGCCTGCCTCTGTGACTCTCTCTAAAGTGGAGATTCTTAGCATCTTTACAGGGGAAATAAATATCGTAGTTGAAAAGTACCTCCAGGTAGAAAAGGAGAAGAATGGGACGAGTGGGGAGGCAGACAAGTGTCTGGGACAAGGGAGAGAGGATCAGGCCACTCTACTTCCTCCTCTCAGCCCACACGGCCTGACCGAGGCTGGTTTGTTGCCCCTTTTGGGAAGAACCCTTGGTGGGTGTACCCTGCGAGCATCCTGCCCGCCCTGCTGGTGACCATCCTGATCTTCATGGACCAGCAGATCACGGCTGTCATTGTCAACCGGAAGGAGAACAAGCTGAAGGTAAGGCTGAGCCAGGAGCATAGCTGGGGGGATGGAGGAGAACATTCTTTTCAAACTTGGAGCAGATGGATTAAATCCACGTTTGGTGTCTTTTGGTGAGAGACATGTGTCCTTGAACAGGATCAAGGTGGCATGGTCTGAGAAACAGGTGCAAGCCCAGGCTGGGTCTTGGGCACAAGCTCCCTATACACCTCAAAATGTCTCTCTGGCTTGTGCCTCCTGACGGTGAAACTTGGGCACCTCACACATGCCAATGCACGTATAGATCTAAAATCGGGAGACAGAGGAATTTCCATGATTCCTGAAAGTCCTGAAGCTCCCCTTTGGGTCTGAGAAGGCTCAGTCACCACTGACTGCCCCACCTTGTCTGGGCCACTCTAGGCTGGAGTCCTTTATCTAAGAACTGCAGAGAGACTGTGGCCAGTGGGCATGAGCTCTTCTTCCCAGAGACCAAATTTGGGGCTTTACCAAGCCTGGCATCCCTCTTCTCTTAACTTGTGTACCTTGCCTAATTTTTTAGACAAGGTGGCAATTAAAGCCAGCCTTGGGGATAGTGAAGCCCAAACACTTCTTAAGCCCCCAGGGTGAATGTCTCCGTGGGGCAGCCCCCTCAGAATACAGTCTGGAAGGCAGGGGGAGCCCTTGAACATGAAATGGTTGCTTTGGGAAGGATCAGGTTCCCAGACTCTTCTCCTGTCCCACTGTCCTGCAGAAGGCCGCGGGCTACCATCTGGACCTGTTCTGGGTGGGCATCCTCATGGCCCTGTGCTCCTTCACGGGGCTTCCCTGGTATGTGGCTGCCACGGTCATCTCCATTGCCCACATCGACAGCCTCAAGATGGAGACTGAGACCAGTGCCCCGGGGGAGCAGCCTCAGTTCCTGGGAGTCAGGTAGGACAGAACAAGACACAAGGAGTGGATAGCTCAGGAGAAGAGAACGTGGTTTTCCTCTAAGTATTTGGGCAAGAAAGGCCTTCCCTATGGCCTCTGAAACCACAGCCCTTGAGGAATATTCTAAAGGAAAGAGAAGAAAATTCAATTCTAAGTGATATTTTTTGTAGTCCCCAGTAGTAACACACACACACACATACACACACACACACACACACACATACACACACACACACACACACACACACACACACCCTAACACTCTAGAACAATGGCTTTCAAACCTTCCAAATGCTGTGACCCTTTAATTGCTCACGTTGTGGTGACCCCCAACATAAAATTCATTCATTGCTACTCCATCACTGTAATTGTGATGCTGTTAGGAATGGTGAGGCAAATGCCTGGTTGCAGCCCACAGGTTGAGAACTGCCGCTCTAGAGCCTTGCCCAGGGGCCACCGTGGGGCCTCTTCTTGCCCTCCCTCCTGTTGTCATTCCTCAAGACCCTCTAGAGGTTCACATCCTGCTTAGCGCCATACCTCTTGAGAGCCTACCTGGATCCAGCCAGGATTCCAGCCCGAATCCCTGGCTTGTCGTTTCTGTTCTTCTCCTTGCTCTCTGTTCATGCCCCACGTCAAGCCCAAACTGGTTCATGTAGCAAAGCCCGTCTGCTGCCACTCTGGGGCCCATGTCAGACCCTGGTGTTCTCCAAAATGGCTGCCCGGGGAACTTCCCGTGTCCTTAGGACACATGAACTACCTGGTATGCCTTGAGGGAGACCCTTTTGTTTGGTTGAAGTCCTCAAGATTAGCCATGGCAGAGCCCTTTCCCAGTCCGCTTCCTGGGCCTAAGCAAGCTGCCCAGAGCCTACAGCTCCAGTCCGGTTGTGCCAGGGCCTACTTGCACCTGCTCCTGCTGCTTCCTCTGAGAGCAGCCAGGCTCCTTCCCCGTATCTTCAGCAGCTACGTTTCCCAGGGGTTGGAAATTAACACCTAAGCAGGGTGCTAAGCCCTTTACAACCTCCCAATAGCAGCACCTCCACCATTATCTCCACTGCGGTCAGCTCTGAGTGTTCCTGGCCTTGCCTAATGCCCACACATAAATAGCAGAGCCAAGAGTCAGCCTAAGTCCATATAGCTCAAACACCCAACTGTTAGGTCCTATACTGAATGACCTCCCTGACACTCCTCAAAATGTCCTGGCCTACGTCAGGTGCTGCCCGGCTTTCCTAACAAAGTCTAGGCCTTGGACTGCAAGGCAGAGCCCAATAAAGAACCCCTCAAGTCCACAGTGTTGGACATAATAAGCTTCAAGTCCAGTAGAAGAGCTGAAGGAGCTGGGAATGGCCGCTGAGTGTCTTCCAGGTCTCCCTGACTGTGTGCTCATCTCCGCCAGGGAGCAGAGAGTGACTGGCATCATGGTCTTCATCCTGACAGGCATCTCCGTCTTCCTGGCTCCAATTCTAAAGGTGAGGCTCTGCCCCATCACCCCCAAGCCCAAGGGTCACCGGCCTGCAAGCCGTAAGAAAGGCAAGGTGTGAACAGGCCACAGTGGTGTTTCATCGTTCAGGGTTTTCTGTGATGCCACGTGGTCTGTTATCATTATTACTGTCATGTCTGCTCTGCCCCACCCCTTCCAGAAGCCACTGTCACCTTTCTGGGGAGTGTTCTTCCCCCAGGGAGTTCTGCAGTGTTCTGTTGCTACCTAGTCAAGGATCTCCAGAGCTGGCCAGTCTACGTTGCCAAGGTTTGGGCTCACTCCGGATCTTCTCGCTTTGCCCGTTTTCTGAATGCGAACTTTGCAAAGGGGAACCCCCAAGTTCTACTTCTCCATCTTGTGTATCCTTGGGCACACAAGTGACTTTCCCTCAAATTTTTGAAACCCTTCTTACTCACATCCCAACCGCTAGAGGACACTGTATCAGGGGTGTATTCAAGCCTGTGTCCCTCCAGAGAGCTGCGTTCCAGTCAGGAAGAAGGTAGTCCTGACAGAGCTCACTGCTCCTGTTCTCTGCCACATCCAATTGCCTAGCAATGGTCCTTTCCATCTGTCATTACCTACACAAGACTTTCCTTCGTGTGTGTACATGCATTTCATATGTGCATGTGTGCACCCGTGTGTGCGATTGAGTATGGAGACAATCCATGGAAGCCAGAGGTGTCAGGTTCTCCTGGAGTTTGTGAGCCACCCAACATGGGTGCTGAGAATTGAACCCAGGTTCTCTGCAGGAGCAGTATGTGTTCTTAACCCCTGAGCTCTCTCTTTGGTTTCTCTACTTTATTTGTTGGAGCCGGGGTCTCTCACTGAACCCAGAGCTCACAATTTGGCTAGGCTGGCCAGCCAGCTCAAGGGTTCCTCTCGCCTCTGCCTCTGCAGCGCTGGGGTAACAACTGTTTGCCTCCTCGCTTGGTCTTTTCACTTGGTACTGGGGTTTAAGCTGAGGACCCTGTGTATCACATGGCAAGCGCTTTACTTAAGAAGCCGTCTCCACCACCCAAGACTTTTCTTTCTATTAATCTTAGTCCACTTTCGTTGCCCTTCCCTCCTTCCACCTTTTAGTCTGATTCTGAGGTGGTCTTGCATGGACAGGTGCACCCAATTCACTCACTGTGACAAGTGTTTGTGGCTTGAAAATAGATGCTGGGCACATCCGAGCAGTGGGTGCGCTGCCATGGGCTGACTCTCTTGGAGATCGAAGACAGGGGTGAAGGCTTAGGAGAACCTGGGATTCGGCAAATGACAGACAGACACAACTCTAATGAGATCTGAATCTGTTGCAATTTTACTAAAATTTAAGCATCACTTTTAAGAGATTACAGAAGGAAGTTGGCAGACATAAAAGCTTCCATAGAAAAATGATTACAGGCAGTTGATTATTCTCAGCAAGTCTTGCGGTCAGGGCCAGGTGGGCAGAGCTTTTCTTTGAAATTCGTCTCACACCATTAACCAACTGCGCTTTCTCATGGCCCTAAATCATATCTGCCCTCAAGGTAACCAAGGTAACCCAAACACCATTCTTCAGGATTCCACCCCCAGGGTTTGCTCCAATATCGAATGGCTGGCTTCATGTTATCAAGAATATCTTGCCTTTCTTCCTATCTAAAATACACCAGGGGTTTCTCATTCTGGCTAGCCTCTCCATAAATGGTAACTCATGCCATTCCATACATTTTCCTTCACAATTCACCCATCCTCTACCAAATCTCCTATCATGAGCCCTTTCTGTTCTAGGGTATCTGTAAATTCCCCCAGAGAGCGAGCCAGAGTCTTAATCATAACATTAATGGCCTGAATCAAGGGAGGGGACTGCCGCATCAGTTCCTCCGTATTCAAGGAGCCGTTGGGAACGTTTCCTGGTTCCTTGAACAGATTAAGTTTTTGTCAAGAGAAAAACAGAACAGAAGAAAAAGATAGCAGAGCCAACGCAAGAAACCATCGCCAGGAACAAAGTGAACGGGGTCTTTGAGGCTAATCAGGCACCTCAACTCGAGCAGACTGCCAGGGAGCCGCCGGGGGGGCCAAGCGTGGATGTGGCAGTGCACCACTGGGTCCTTCAGAGGAATGTCTCCATTGTCTATGATAGGCCACACACAGATGGGCAGCTACTGCTTGCTTATTTTACAGAGGTTCTCTGCAGGCCCATAAGATAGTTCATGAGTTCCTTTGTACCTGCTTCTAAGGCTACCCATCTGTGTTTGATACCCTGGACTATCTGGTCAATGGAGAGAACCAACCCTTGAAGGCTGTCCACTGACCTTCATACATGCTCAGTGACCTGCACACAGGAATACACACACACATATACACACAATCAATCAATCAATGTAAAAAACAAACAGAAGCTAGAGAGATGACTCATTGGTTAAGAACATTGGTTGCTCTTGCAGAGAACTGTTGTAAAAGGAGCGGCGGGCCGCTTCCCGCCACCCGGCTCCCAGCTGCCCAACTAGCTTTACCCAAAATAATTACACAGAAACTGTATTCATTTAAACATTGCCTGACCCATTAGTTCTAACCTCTTATTGGCTAACTCTCACATATTAGTTTAACCCATCTCCATTTATGTGTATTGCCACTTGACTGTGGCTTACGAGCATGAGTCTAACCAGTGTCCATCTCGGAGAAGAGAGCCATGGCGTCTGCCTGACTCTGCTGACTTTCTCCCAGCATTCTGTTCGGTCTACTCCACCTATCTAAATTTTGCCCTATCAAAAAGCCAAGGCAGTTTCTTTATTTGTCCAATGAAAGCAACACATAGAAAAAGACCCTACTACACCAGAGAACCTGGGTTTTGTTCCCAGCACCCACACGGCAACTCACAAAGATCTGTAACTCCAACTCCAGAGGACCTGATGCCCTCTTCTGGCCTCAGTGAACACCAGGCATACATGCTGTGCCCGTGTATACATGCAGGCAAAAAAACATTAATACATATAAAATAGGGGGCTGGAGAGATGGCTCAGTGGTTAAGAGCATTGCCTGCTCTTCCAAAGGTCCTGAGTTCAATTCCCAGCAACCACATGGTGGCTCACAACCATCTGTAATGAGGTCTGGTGCCCTCTTCTGGCCTGTAGACATACACACAGACAGAATATTGTATACATAATAAGTAAATAAATATTTAAAAAAAATACATATAAAATAAAAATAAATCAATTTAAAACGAGCATATTATGTTTTAAAATGTGATTAAATGAATACAAGTAAAATAAAGCACACTTTTAAGCACTCTGTCACTGAGCCACCTCTTCAGCACACGGCCCTTGTTCTTCTGTTCTATGTAACCCTGAGTGGCCTAGAACTTAAGATGTGGACCAGGCTGGTCTCAAACTCTCCACAGTCCTGCCATCCCAGCCTCTTTAATGCTGGGATTACAAAGATGAGCCATGCCAGGCGGTGGTGGCGCACGTCTTTAATCCCAGTATTCGGGAGGCAGAGGCCAGCAGATCTCTGAGTTCAAGGCCATCATGGTCTATGAAGCAAGTTCTAGCACAGGCAGAGCTACACAGAGAGAATCCCTGTCTTGGAAAAACAAAACAGACAGACAAACCCAACAAAACAAATGAAAAAAAAAAAAACAAAAAGATGAGCCATCATACTGGCTTATTAATTTTTATTTAAGATTTTCTTTGAATTGCTCCCATACTTTGAATGCAGTTTACATAGTGCTAACATATTGACATTTTATGTTGTTTTATAATTAGGACACTTTTCACAAGGTTAGCAGGAAGATGCAAAGGCCCTCTGAATCCCCTTTTAACTTTTAGCTCAAATGCCTTTACAACATCTGGATCCAAATCTTTCTTAGTGGTTAAATATTGAACAGTCTAACTTAAAAGAGATCATTTGCTTGCTGGGATGTCTTGGCACTTTCTTTTCTTTTAAAGATTTATTTTACTTTTAAAAATTATGCAGATGTGTGTCTGTGTGTGACTATGTACGCGTGAATGCAGATGCCCGTGGAGGTCAGAAGAGAGCCTGAGATCCCCTGGAGCTGGAGTTATAGGTGGTTGTGAGCCGCCTGATGTGGCTGCTGGTGCCATCCCTCCAGCCACCAGCTCAACATTACCAAACGGCACCTATAAGTTAGGCGACCTCAGGGTGGTCAGAGTTGGTGAGCATTGATATCAAACTTTGTGCCTTCCAAAGTGTTCTCCCAGGACTACCCAAGAGCAAGGCAGGCTCCTGCTCAGCTCACCAGGGTTCCCAGCCCCTTTGGTGGCTGTCAGCTGAAGCAGACATGGGAGGGATCTGGTAGGATTGAGGAGTGCCCAGATTGTGTACCTTTCCCTCTTGTTGGAAGGAGTAACCCATGTCATATAGGTTTTGAGTGGCCGGGAGAGCAGCCAGTCCTGGAAAGCAGCCGCCTGCTGGCTTGGCTACCCAAGCTGGAGGAGAGCTCTTCCACCCTCATGGTTCCCCTCGCCATCCTCTGGCTTCAGGTCTGCTCCTCCAGAGGGCAGCTCTCCAGCACCCTCTGTGGTTGGCTAACACAGCTGTCCATCACCAGCTAGCCCAGGACCCTCCCCAGCCCAAACCTTTGTTCTCATTGCAGTACATCCCTATGCCCGTGCTCTATGGAGTCTTCCTCTACATGGGTGTAGCCTCGCTGAACGGCATCCAGGTAAGGTCCTCCCCAGGCTAATGTGACCTAGAGTCAGAAGTCCCAGTTGTGTGAGAGGATTGTGGTAACAATGCCAATTCCATCAATCCATCGACTGTGCCGACAAAATGACTACATAGGTACTTTACATGTACCTATGTGATTGGGCCTTTGGGTCCCCATTTTACAGGTGGAGAAACTGAGGCAGGTCAAGTTAACTCTAATAAACCTTTCCTTCCTACTTCCCAAAAGTTACTCTATAAAGGATTTTTTTTTTTTTTTGGCCTGGTTCTGACTCACATGGGGCCAGGGTCCCCAGGCAGTGTGTGCCACAGTTAAGTTAATTGCTTTTTCCTTAAATATGGCCCATGTTCATGTTCCTGTAGTCACGATCTCCAGACTATTTCCTCCATCCAGTGCTCAGGGCCCCTGCCCTATGTTATACATGCATAGATACCAGTAGCCTCTCATGATCGGGAGGCCCTACCAGGCCTCTCTAAGGCCCTACCAGACCATCACTTCCCCTAGTCCTGTATGTAGCCTTTGGCCCAGGAGTCTGACCTCCCGGTTGAGTCCTATGCCATATTCTCACCAGTTCTGGGAACGCTGCAAGCTTTTCCTCATGCCAGCCAAGCACCAGCCGGACCACGCCTTCCTGCGCCATGTGCCCCTTCGCCGGATCCACCTGTTCACCCTGGTGCAGATCCTCTGCCTGGCACTGCTCTGGATCCTCAAATCAACCATGGCTGCCATCATCTTCCCGGTCATGGTGAGGAGAGTGTGGGCTGCTCAGAGGACTAGGTGGGGCAGGGCCACCAGGAGGTTCAGGGCCAGGTAACAGAGAAAAGTGCCACAGTAACGGGACTCTGCAGGGACAACCCATGTGCTGTCTCCAGGGCTCTCCGGGTAGGCAAGTGGAATAGGGGAGGAACTGGAGAAGTAAGACAAAACAGAAAGCCAAGCTCCCATGTTGAACTTCAAGCTGGTTGGAAATAAAAGCATAATAGTAGTAAACAAACAAATACCTAAATAAATAAAATAATAGTAAACTTTTCACCATGTAAAACAACTGCATTTGAAAAGATGGATGGGTCATGATGGGCAGAGACCAGACTCCTAGATTCAAGAACTTGAGAGTGCATACAGGGCAGGGTGGCACTGGCTATAATCCCAGCACTAGGGAGGCTGTGATCTCTGGGGCTGGCTAATTAGTCTTGGGGACATTGGAAGGGCTGCAAAGACACTGGCCACAAATGGTCCCTGAATTCAACCAACAGAGGAGAAAACGCAAGCTCACGGTTTTCTCTGAGCTCCCACAAAACTCATCCTTTCTGCCCATCTTCCCGTCCCAGATCCTGGGCCTTATCATTGTTCGAAGGCTCCTGGACTTGATTTTCTCCCAGCATGACCTGGCCTGGATTGACAACATCCTCCCAGAGAAGGAGAAACAGGAGACAGACAAGAAGAAGAAGAGAAGGAAAGGGGTCCTTGAAAACAGTGATGAGGAGGTGGGGACAGTGAGTGGCCTCGGCAGAAGGCAGAGACTCTCCCCTTCTGCCAGGGCGAGGGGTGGCTCTTTGGGAGGCCTGCAGCAGTACTTGGTACAGGAGGGATGTTATCTGTGCTGGTCTTGGGTGTTGAGAACCCATTTGTTCCTGGGAATATCCTCAGGGTGGTCCGAGTTGGTGAGCATCCTTGCCTAGGAACAGGTGATAGCCACACCTGCCCTCCTGTTGCTGTGGGTTCTCGGGACTGTTTTCATCAGCAAGGCAAGTGCCTGGGGCAGAATGGGCTCCAGTGTAGAAGGCAGTTGTAAGGAGGATCTCCAGAGAAAGGCACAGGCCTTGCAGGAGGGGTGGCCAGTGGGAACTCACAACCAACCTAGACTCCAGGTAGGTGGCCCTGGTAGCAAGCTTGGCTTTGGCCTGCCCATGGAGTATTAAGGATGGAAAAGGGAGAAGTACATGTCTTCCCTGAAGGTAGAATAATTACCTGGTTTCCTCACTTGCCCCTTTTCTCATCCATGCTTTTGCATCTCAGCCCTGAAACCATTAGGGATTCGAGCCAAGGAGTTAGTCCGCACTGTACAGTAAATCTCAAAACATTAGACAGAAAGATTTTCTGATTCGGGCACTCATTGTAAATGATGACAGCTCTTCCCCAAAGAGAGCAAGACCTCCCAAGATGGAAACATAGCTGACTGTCTGAGAGAATTAAGAAAACCATTCCTGCTTTGATCGTACCCTTTCCTGATACCCTGCCTAGTTCCCAGTCTCCCCCATCTGACTCAAACCCACAATCTTCATCTTCATTTGTGAGTGAAAACTGTTCACAGGCAAATCCTCGTGAGCAAGCGTAAGTCATCCACGGTGTGACTTTCTCATCCCTAACTGCTATCCTCCTCAGGAGGAAGGACCCCTCAAATTTATTTCATGTGCCCCTTTTGACAAAAAGAACTTGCAAAGATAGATTTCTAAAAACAAAGAGGTTTCTTAAAACAAAGGGGTTGAGGGCTATAGCTCAGTGGGTAGGGCACTAGCCTAGCGTGCATGAATGAAGCCCTGGGTTCAATTTCTAGTGACTTGTAAACCAGGCATGGGCATGCATGCCTGTCATCCCAACACTTAGGGAGGTGGAGACAGGAGGGTCAGAAATTCAGGGTGTCCCCAGGCACATGATGCGTTTGAGGCCAGCCTGTGGAGGAAGAAAGAGTGCAAGGAAGGGAGGGTAGAGCCCAGTCGCCTTTTTATTTTAATATTTATAATTTTAAAAGTATGTGTGGGTGTGTAGGTGTGTGGCTATGTGCGTGTGAGTGCCTGTGGAGGCCAGAAGAGAGCTTTAGGTCCCTGAGTTACAGGTGATTGTGAGCTGCCCAATGTGAGTGCTAGAAACCAAACTCCAGTCTCCCATAAGCGGCTGGAGATCTTAACTGCTGAGTCATCTCTCCAGCCCTGCCCTCACCAATGGTCTTTTAAAGACAAATGCTTTTTCTTTGTTTTTTTGTTTTGTTTTGTTTTTGTTTTTTTTCTTTTTCAGCAAACACCTGAGATACTCCCATGTGCCGGGAATTACTCCAGGGCTGAGAAAAACACTCGTGCATTTTATGATACATATACTCAGCGGAAGAGTGAGATCTGAGTCACAGACATGCATTTTAAAAGGGCCTTTAAGGCAGCACCACTGTAGTGTGAGTCACTCACAGTGACTGCATACACGGCAGATTAGACTGTTCAGAGTGGCGTTCCTGGCCGAATTCCTTCCTGACTCCTGGGTCTCTAGAACAGTGGGTTACTGTGCCATGGTGCCTCTGTGGGCCGAGTGTTTGCCACAGCCCTCACTATTTGGTCTGGGTGGGAGGTTTGCACCATGCGTATATGGACTTTCTGTCTCAGTGAGGAAGCCCGGGTGGTTGTGTTGGTGTTTATCTGCTTTCCCACTGTTTTTCTCCAGCCCCAGTTCCTTCCTCCCTCACTTATAAAGATCCCCATGGAAAGTGTCCCATCCGACCCCCAAAACGGTATCCACTGCATTGCCAGTAAGTAAAACACCTGCTGTCTCTCCCTTCCTACTCATCTACTCCCCAAGGGAACTTCCCCTGTAGCTCAGTGGTCAAACTGTTTTAGATGCTGAGGACTCCTGTCCTAGGGAGAAATAGAGGTGACTGGCCCTGAGCACAGGACCTCCACACATATGGAGACCCCACCCCATAAAAGAGCACCCTGCAATCTTCACTTTAGACATGGTCCCCATTCCTCACTTTCCTTTGGACCCCGTGCCTTGGCTGGTCTCCCCTTCATTGTTTTAGAACATGTCAGTCCATGCGTGGCTCCTGAGCCCCACATTTTCCTGGAATTGTGATGACTGAGCTCCTGCCAGGGCTGAGTGTTCCCCACTAGAGAACCATCTAGGTGACTCGAGCCCTGAGATTAGGCTGCGATCCCATGAAAGCCATAGCTGCCTGCCACTGCTGACGGGGAGGTTGCTTAGGCAGGGTCAGCTTTTGCTCTTGAAGACCCTTCTAGGTCTTTCACAGCCTAGTGACAGACAGTCCAACCTGTCTTTGGAGTCCTCTGCCGTGGGACTTGTCACTCCCCTCAAAGACAGGTCAGGTCTTGGTGACCAGCACATCCAGCCGCACCCTCGGGGTTCAGCACAAGGTCACTTCAGGTTCCTTCCTCTCCTGACCCATTTCTGTCATCCTCTCTAGTCCTTGCCCTCCCCATGCCTCAGTCCTTCCTAACCGGCTAAGAGCCCCCGTATGAGGGACTGAGCCTGACGCCACCCATCTCTGTGAGGCCCCCGTGCCCCTCATATGCAGCATTGACTATAGGGTTGAGGAGCAGAAGCCAGAGCTGGTGAGGAGGTTCTGGAGAGCTAGAATGTTCCCCTGTACCCTCCTGGACCTTCTCACAGCTGGCATTTCCATCTCCCTCCAGGAAAAAGATCTTCCAGTTGGAGTTACTCATTCTGACTCTTCCTTCAGTGGCTCGGAACTGGATCGAAGGTAAAGGCTGTTGGGTGCTTTTCCTCTTCATGTGTATGGGTGTGGTGTCGTTGACTGGGCTGTGGACAACTTCTCAGAGGGCACACTGGTTAATGACTCCCTGCCCCAGCAGCCATAAACTGCCAGCAGCTTCCTGGCTATGGGCAGGGCCTCCTGTGAGGCAGAGTATCAGATAAGAGATTAAGCAATGGCTGAAGGCTTGAGGGGCTAGGGCAGCTTTGCTGGCCCACCACTGGGAGACAGGTGGGAAGCGATCTGCCTCAGGAGGAGACCATGTAATAAATGTGTGTTCTCGTTCACGTCAACGTGGTTACATTGCACAAAGGAATTAAACTTTAGAAAAGGAGCTTACTGCAAAAATATTGGATTGAATATTCTGTGAAAACACAGAAAAAAGAAAACGTAGACAACAGGGAAAGCGTGGCTTGATTCTCTGTTTCTGAAAGCTTGGATGGATAAACACAAAGGATCAAAGAACAAGGTACTCTAAGTAGGAGATCAACAGTGGGGTCAGTCACCGCAGGTGGGAAGAAGGATTGAGGAAAGGGAACCAGAAAGGAGAGATTAAGTAGAGATAGAAACATTCAGGAAAAGGACTAGGGAGTAGCTCGGTGGTTGTTCCTGCCTACCATGTACACAGCCCTGGTTCAAACCACAGGGCTTTATGAAACCAAGAATGGTGGCACATGCCTATAATCCCAGCACTGAGGAAGCAGAGCCAGGAGGATGGAGAGTTCAAGGCCATCATGTGTTATGGAGCAAGTTAAGGCCAGCCTGGGTTATATGAAATCCTGTCTCAGGAAAAAAAAGTTTTCTTCAGAGACATATTCAAGGCTCAGAAGCCAAGGACCCTCATATCAATGGTGCTCTCGCCGAGATACCATGCATGAAGAGAACCTTGCATAGAGCAGGTCCTGGATAAGACTCGAGCTGCTTGGGTGTCACAGTGTCAGAGTGTGTGGGTGCCTGTAGAGACCGGAGAGGACATCAGATCTTTACATCTGATGAGGACATACATCTTTAAGCTAAGATTTAAAAAGGCATACCCTAAATCAGATCTCCACCCCATCTGCAGGCAAGAGCCTAGACAAAGACAGAGAATTTTTTGAAAACCTGTTAAATTACCCTGAGCCACAGAAAGGCTGAGAATTCGGTGAGCTAGAGATGGTGCTTGCCGTATGCACTGGTGTTCCCCAAATCTGTGAAAGCAGATGGAAGGAGGAGGTCTCTCCAGAGAGCAAAGAGCTCAGGGCTTGGCTAGACATAGATGAAGCCTCAAAGCTGAAGGCATGGGGACTGAGGACTGGGGGAAGGGCTAAGGGGAAGGGTGGGCTGGAGAGATGGGGATTGAGAGATGGGGAAGGGGCTGGATGGATGGGGGTCAGAGGGATGAATGGGCCGAGAGATGGGGCTAAGAGATGCAGGGCTGGTGAGATGGCTCTCAGGTTAAGTTCACTGGCAGCTTTTCCAGAGGACTCAAGTTTGGTTCCTACCATCCGCATTGCAGCTAGGAACCATTTGTCATTCTGGTTCTGGGGGATCTGAGCCCTTCTTCTGGACTCCTAGGCACCAGGATGTGGTGCAGAGACACACATGTAGGCAAACATGCATATCTATTAAAAAGTAAATTTTTACAAACCTGCCAGACACGAGGTGCCATTCTTGGAGTTGTAGAGGGACTTGCAGACAAAGGCACAACATGCATGTGAGAACATGCGTGGGCACACAGAGAAGCTGGTGATCTCAGTGGCCACATCCAGGACAGAAAGACCAGCCTGATGCACAGACTGAGCCAGGGCAGAGGAGGAAACGTCAGTCTGGGTCATGGGAACAGGCCTAAGGCAATATTTGAAAGCACAGATGCGGGAATTGATGGGCAATTAAACCAGAAACGTGGCCAGTTCAAACCAAAGGATGCTGTCCTTTGAGCAATGAGAACAGAACAGTCAGATTTATGATTCAGAAAGTTGGCTTGGCAGCCGTTTGAATAGGTTAAAACAGGCTGGGACCGGTTGAGTAATGATGGCTACGAGCCCAGCAACTAGAGGACACTTTGGTCCAAGGATTCTGTAAATTCATGCTCTGTGAGAGGCAGAGGCAGGAGAATCAGGAATTCAAGGTCATTCTTAGCTACAAGACAAGTTTGCAACTACACAACTATGTGAGACTCTGTATCAAAAACACAAAAAACAGCCGGGCGGTGGTGGCGCACGCCTTTAATCCCAGCACTAGGGAGGCAGAGGCAGATGGATCTCTGGGAGTTCAAGGCCAGCCTGGTCTACAAGAGCTAGTTTCAGGACAAGCACCAAAGCTACAGAGAAACCCTGTCTCGAAAAACCAAAAAAAAAAAAAAAAAAAAAAAAAAAAACCACAAAAAACAGAAAAGGCCAGCAAGATGGCCCAGTAGGTAAAGGCGCTAGCCACCAAACCTGGTGACCTGAGTTCAAAGAAATAAATGGTGGGTCACACCTTTAATCCCAGCAATTGGCGGACAGGAGGGTGGGTCCCTTTGAATTCAAGGTCAGCCTGTTCTACACAGTACCCTCCTGGAAAAATAAATAAACAGAGCGTGATCTGAGCCAGGTGGTGGTACACATCTTTAATCCCAGCACTTGGGAGGCAGAGGCAGGAGGAACTCTGTGAGTTCAAAGAGTGAGTTCCAGGACAGCCAGAGCTACACAGAGAAATCCTGTCTTGTAAAACCAACTAACCAAGCAAACAATGACCTGAGTTTGATCCTGAGACCGACGTGGTGGAAGGGGAAAATCAACTCCTGCATTGTCCCGACACCCACTCTTGTGCCCCCTCACCGCCCCTGCAAACACCCATAAGTAAGGAAATGTAATGATTTTTCTGGGACAGGGTCTCACCTAAGTAGCCTTGATTGGTCTTGAACTCGGATCTACCTGTCTGTGCCTCCTGAATGCTCCCTGGACTATGTTTTTCTGAAAGGAAAAAAAAGCTTGCATGTGTGTGGTGCACAGACACACAAGCAGAAAAAAACATTTTTTTAACTAGCAGCATTTTATTTTATTTAAAGATCTATTTATTAATTATGTATGTGGCATTCTGCTTGCATGTGTCCCTGCAGGCCAGAAGAGGGCACCAGATCTTATTACAGATGGTTGTGAACCACCATGTGGTTGCTGGGAATTGAACTTAGATCCTCTGGAAGAACAGTCAGTGCTCTTAGCTCCTGAGCCATCTCTCCAGCCCCCCAAAAAAATATTTTTAAATTGATAAGCAATGACAGAACTTTTCCATTAGAGCCTGTTCTGTGGTTACTGCTGGACAAACCCAAGACTAGATACTCATTTTTCTTCCCACTTTGTCTTACTCAGCATCACCTTGCACTTCAAAATCGCTTGTCCGGCTTCACCTGCCTTCAGTTACTCACGGAGTCCAGTCTTCACGGTGCCACAGGTGAAGATAGAGGTGGAGCCTGACCTTGACTTCACAGACAAAGAGGACTATGGGAGAAAGGTGGGTGGGGAGACCACGCTCTAGCCCAGCACAGCTCTTCCCGGCTGGGGACAGCGTGAAGGCTGGCCCAGGCTCCATCTAGAGTGTGTCAAGCCCTTCACTTGTTTCCTTACCCACGGGAGGCCTATCCGTGACATCCAACATAATCATGAAGTTCTCCTCTTCCCTTTGCAGTTATTAAAATACCCAAAACAGAACCATATGGCTTAAAATGCCACCAAGCATAGATATAACCTTTCTTCTGAAATAAACAAAAAATGCTCTCCAAAGTTACAAGTACGATACATGGGCAGTGGTGGGCTTGTATTTAAAGTATATATTGACTTAGTATCTTCTACTTATTTACCAATTTAGCATCTTTTAGAGGTTAGATTGATATCTAAATACCTTGAAGGTCTGAGTGCGTTCTGCAGGCTTACACGTTAGAAAGTGGCTGAGAGTTGTCTTTTCGCTTCGTTCTGCCTGGAGTCCTCTGTACAGCAGGCCTGACTCCAGAAGTGTGGCTGGGCCTTCCACACACTGAATGGCCAGTCCCAAAATTATTCACGGAAGAACTCGTGTATCGGTGGATTGCTTATCTTTGAGATAGGTGCTCACTAAGGACCCTCAGATGTCCTGGAACTCCCTATGTAGACCAGGCTGGCCCCAGAACTCAGAGCTCCACCTGTCTCTGGGATTGATTAAAGGCATGTGCTTCTCAACTGGCTTGCTTTAGACAAAATAGTGCTTGTTAACTGAACTCTTAAGCTGCATTAGGTCAACCAAATAACCGTTTACGCTCGCCAGTGGCCTCATAACCTGGAGTCCACTTTTTGATGCATCTGAGTAGGTTCCCTCCTTCCTCTCCCACAACAACTTTGTAATAGCTAAGGCCCAAATTTCTCAGCAACATTGCCTGTTAGGCAGCTCATGTTTGTAATAGCTACTTTATGCAAGTGGTCAGAAGAACCCCATCCCAAATGGGGTATGACAGCCCAGTTCTCCGGTGATCTAAACCCATTCCACGATAAAACTGTCTTCCTGTGCCAGTCCTGAGAGAGCCAACGGCCAAGTTTTAAAGCTTCACTGGTCTGTAGCAGCCCTCGATCCAGATCGAACTGTAGCACTGTTACAGATTCAGAGGGAAGTGTGCTTCATTAATCAAACGAGCTGAGAAGCCAGTTAGCTTTTAAAAGGTTGATGTAAATTGATCCATGTAATTTTCACCTTAAATGTCACTTGTATTTTGTATATACATGAGCATTTAAACTCAGCAGCCTTTAACGTGTCGGCATATGACTTCTCCGTAAATGGTACTTAAATAAAATATAATTGTGTCTGCTTATCTTACGCCATGTTTTAATAACTCAAGGACATCAACAGGCATGTACCATACCTGACTTACAAAAATATCCCCTGCAAGGGAGCTGGAGAGATGGTGCAGTGGTTAAAGACACTTGTGGCTTTTGCAGAGGACCTGGGTTTACATCCCAGGGTGGCTCACAACTATCTGAACTCCAGTTCTAGATCTAAGGCCCTCTTCTGGCCTCCACAAGTACTACATGCACATGGCACAGATACACACACCCACCCACACACACACACATATACATTAAAACAAACAAACACACAAGTGTAAGCCATAAACCATAAAGTCACTGGCAGAAGAACAAGGGAAAAATAGGTCAACACTGCATGGGCTGCCTAGAGCAGGACTGAGTCTTTCAGCTTAAATCCAAACACCCATGAGAACACACAGGGATGGAAGTTCAGCTTGCACCTTCCAGTTTGTCAAACAACTGCACAGCAGGGATAAATGTATCTATTGCACACATGATACACATGTGTTGAGAATTTTGCATGCAAACAAGTCCTTTGTAGTGAGTGGTATATGAATGGAGGGAATGGTTTAGAAGATACCCAGAATCACTTACATGTATCTTAAAGGGATACATAAGGGTTAGGTTGGTTTCCTCACAACTCCTTATAGACTGGGTATAATCTAGGCACAGCCAACCCAAACACTGGGTAGGAAATACTAACAGGTTAGGTCTGACTGAGACAGAAGAAGATAGCATTTCAGAAACTCATTCCACACCAGACAGATGTGTTTTATTTAAAAACAAGACAAAAGAACCCAACAACAGCAACAGAACCCTTTAATAAGAAAATCTGATCAAATCTTATATTAACTCAAGCTCCTTGGTACCTTCAGGAAAGCTACGTGAAAGACACAGGCAGCTGCCGTCATTTCTTTGGTGGCAAGTAGTAGGTTTTACACAACCTGCCCTCATGATTATCATGCCCAAATTTTGTTTTTCAAAAAACTGGCCTCAAAGCTTAGGCCAAAAAAAATAGACACCTACTCTCCAACAGTCTGAAATTTAAAGTTTAAATGTGCCGCAGAAGCCGAACATGACAATCACACACGTCATTTATGAAATGATCTTTCTCAATTCTAGAAAACTGAAATAGGGCAAGCTCACAGGAGGGTAACAGCAAGTGGGGGAAATCCTAAACCTTCCCCGGTGACTCAGCCACACAGGACAGCTAGCAATGCTGGACTTTCCTCTACCAGCCCAGGCAACTGAGCCCTCTTCAGAGAAACCTGGTCACAGTCTGGCATGCACAGAAAGCAAGGGGCCATCCTCCACTTGGTGTCGGTGCTGCTGTTTCTTCTTTCCCCCTGATTCGCTCTAGTACGTTTTCCTTTGGTTTGAAAGTTGAACTCAGAAGGCTTGGAACCTCAGATGAGCCATCAACTTGAATTGGAATAGCACTTGGGAAATGAGAACCTAACAAGGCAGGGTTTGTGATGAAGTTCAGCATTCACTCTCAGTGTGAGGATGTCTCCCCTGCATCACCAGGTCAAAGGCAGGACGCGGATGGGCACCCCAGTGAGGTTCTGCAGAGCCATGTGCACCCACGTCCACCCGTTTAAGCTTTCAATAAATACAAACATCATTTTAAATCACTTCAACAGAATAAATTAAAAATACTGCATTCCTCTTGGCCCACTCTGCCTCTCCGACTGGCATGGAGTCCTGCTAGTTGGTGGCAACTCCACGCTGCTTGGCCTTGAGCAGCTCCAGCTCTTCAGGCCTCAGCACTTTCTTCGCAGCAATAATGGTATTCTTCATTAGCATGGCCACCGTCATGGGACCAACACCTCCAGGGACAGGAGTGATGTAACCGGCTTTCTTCTTGACTCCTGCAGAGAAACAAGACAGGCAGGGAGCTTCAGATAGATGTGCAAAGTTCATAAGCACTTTATCCTGTTATGAAAAAAAGTATTAAAGAAAAAGAAATGTAAGGGCCTTTGTTAGCTTCAAACTGGGTAAGAAAGACAGCATCTATGGGGTTGGAGAGATGGTTCAGACGTTACAAATACCATCTGCTCTTGCGGAGGAAGTGGTTTGCTGGGTTCCCAGCAACATCTTGGTGACTCATAACCCTCCATAACTCCAGTTCTGGGGATCTGGACACCCTCTTCTGATCTCTGAGGGCACCAGGCACACACATGGAGCACATACATACACATGCAGGCAAAACACTCAGGCATACAAAATAAACCCTTAATTTTAAGAAAAATAGTATCTGCAAGGTAGGGTAACAGTTCAGTTGTAAAACATTGGCTGTAAAAATGAGGACCTGAGTTCAAGCCTCAGAAACCCACGAGAAAAAGCCAGATGGGGTGGCATGTGACTGTAACCCCAGTGCTGGGAGGCAGCTGGTCAGCCAGACTGCACACACTAGCAAGTTCCAGGGGAACACTCCAAGTTATGAACAACTGAAGACACCCAAGGTCACAAATACCATGACACACAAACATACACAGACCACATACACACACATATAAAACAGACATACAACATAGACACATACACCACATACACACACACACATAAAACAGACATACAACACAGACACACGCACCACATATACATGCACATAAAACAGACATATAACATACATATAACACAAACACACACCACACACACATAAAACAGACATATAACACACATACAACACAGACAAACACACACCACATACACACATAACACATACACACCAGACATACCCATAGAACACACATATACACAATATACATGCACATCATTTTTTAAAAAATTATGTGTATAGCCAGGTATGGTGGTGCCTCTTGGAAGAAGGTGGACAGCGACCTTGGAAGACTTCCAGGACCAACCTCAGGCTTCCACAGACATGCACCCACACATGTGCAAACATGAACACAAACACACACACACACCATACTGGGTTTTTTTTTTTTTTGGTGTTTTCGAGACAGGGTTTCTCTGTGGTTTTGGAGCCTGTCCTGGAACTAGCTCTTGTAGACCAGGCTGGTCTCGAACTCACAGAGATCCGTCTGCCTCTGCCTCCCGAGTGCTGGGATTAAAGCACGTGCCACCACTGCCCGGCTCACCATACTGTTTTTTAAAAAGCATTTTAAATATTAACCAAAATAACACAAGCTTAAAAGTTATAAGAAAAAGCCAGAGGTGGCAGCACACACCTTTAACCTCAGCACTTGGGAGGCAGAGGCAGGCAGATCTCTGTGAGTTCGAGGCCAGCCTGTTCTATAGAGCTAGTTCTAGGACAGCTAGGGCTACACAGAGAGATCTGTCTCAAAAACAAACAACAACAACAACAAAAACTATGTAAAAAGAAAATGATCTGCCCTAAATATCCATGAAAGGTAATATTTATAGATTTATGTTTTCAAAACAATTACACTAAGTACCTTCAAAATCTACATCTCCAACCAACTTGGGCTTTGCAGTGACAGGATCTTGAACTCTGTTTATGCCCACGTCGATGACAGTTGCCCCTTCCTTGATCATGTCGGCTGTGATGAGATTTGGAATGCCTGGTGACAGAGTGACAATCAGTCAGGTGACAGACTTCAGCTAAAAATTTTCATTTATTTTATATTTACAGATTTTATGTAT